TTCTTCTCAATGCAGTTCTATGGGTTAAAACATTGGTGACAGTTTTTAAAGATAGAAACAAATGGACAAGAGGACATTGTCCTCTGAAATGGACAATGTTTAAAAAAAAAAAAAAGGAAGCAAGCAAGCAAACAATTCTTCTCTTCTTGCTCTGCATCTTATAAGATGCCCCCAGCCCTACAAAGCTTCATACTCCAACTACACTCAGAGCGATGCTGGTTTGGTATGGCCGCACTCACACTTAAACTCCCCCCGCGCTGTCAAACCTTGCGGCTGCAGGTGAAATCACATCTGTGGCTGCAGAGTCGTGTTGGGCCCAGCCGTGACTGACCCCTGCCTCTCTGCTACCTTGGCTTCTGTCCTCCAGCCCTCCCACGCTGTGTGCTTCTGCATCATACACCAACAATGTGGTCAAGCAGAGCATATACTGTCTCCTTCCTGTTGGATGGTGGGTCTTAACTGCGTCTGAATCTTCTGCCTCCGGTATTCCGGATGTCTCTTTATATTTCCTGTGAGCTTACACGGGATCCAGACATCCGAAAATTCACTAAGCAACCTTTCTTCACACTCTTCCTGACCAGTCCAGCTTTGCTCGGGAAACTAATGCATCCTCTATGAGCTTTCAGAGTCCATATAGTGAGAACAAATTTTGCCAGTTCCTCCATGAAGATCTTCATCATGTGCTGCCTAATTCCTGTCCCCTGGACCTGGAGTCCTGCGGCTCAGAGTCACACCACATAGCTCTTTCAGTCCTAGTGTCCTCCAGACCCGTGATGTGTGCACTCCCATCCAGAGAGTCCCCACAAAAGCTGAAACTCCACTCTTGTCTTCCTCACTGCAGGGAGAACCTGAGGCTCTGCTCCTCCTTCACACCATGTGGTGCTGCATGGGGTGGGCACTGGGCCAGTATGCATTCATGAGGTTCTCATGGAACCTTGGATGGCAGCCTCTGTTTTCTGGAACCTCACAGAAGGTCTGAGCCTGAGAGCCGCTGAATGGACCATTTTGTGGAAGCAAGGACCATCTGGAGCATCCTACTCTATGATACCAAATCCCTATTCCTCGCCTTTTTTCAAATTGTAGTACTTTTATTTTGGATTCGAGAGATACATTTATATATTCAGACTCCAGAGCACTTTCATACGTAGGCTCTGTAAATATTTAACTCCAGTTGCTTGGGCTGCTTGATAAACCATTTACTCCACTGACCATCCTCCTTGATACACTTTGTCAATGAGGTGGACTATAACACTGTATCATAACAATGTAACAATGTAATAACTTGACTGTTTTTTATAATGCTGTGACTCAGCTTATTCTGTGTCATATTTAGGAATCCATTGTAAAATCCAGGGTCAGGAGCATTCCCCCCTGTTTAAGAGCTTTTTGTAACATTTAATGTTTGATTTTTTTTTTTTTTTTTTAGAAGATGCAGTATGTTAGTTTCACTGTTTTGCAAAGTAACTCATAAGTTTTCAGAACATGCTTGGGTGAAACAAACCAGACACAGCAAGACCCTCCACACATTCTCACATACTTATGGAAAAGAATAAGACAGTCTTCCAGAAGTACACAGTGGAGTATGTATATCTAGAATGGGAAGTGTGGAATGAAAGAGAACAAATAAATTCAGAGGGACTTCTACCATCTAGGAAGGATGCTAAGAGGGAATGGTAAAGGCATCAAGGGTAGTAGAGGGATGTATAGACTGGACCAATTCATAACAGATACACATATGAAAATACTAGTAAATCCCATTAATTTATACATTATAATAAAGGTTAATTCAAAAAAATTGTATTGCAGGTTTTCTTCCCCAGATAGACAAAGTCATTCCAAAATAACTGAAAATGACCCCAAGAACAACTGAAAAAATAAGTAAGACTATCTGACCCAAAACAGCTTCTCTGGTGGCCCCCCATATATTCACAGGGAGTGGCACTGTCAAGAGGTGTGGCCTTGTTGGAGGAAGTATGTTACGGAGGGTGGGCCTGAGGTGTCAGATGCTCAAGCCAAGCCCGATGTCTCACTCTCTTCCTGCTGCCTGTAGATCTAGATATAGAGCTCTCAGCTACCTTTCCAGTTCCACGTGTGCCTGGGTGCCACCATGCTGCCCACCATGACAATAAGGGACTAAACCTCTGACCTGTGAACCAGCCCCAATGAAATGTTTCCTTATAAGAGCTGCCGTGGTCATGGCGTCTATTCGCAGTAATAGAAAGTCTAACTGAGCCGGCTTCCCTAGAAATGAGCAAGTCGATAGGGAGTGACTAGCTGTGGCAAATTCAAAAACAGGCAAAGCTGGTCAGTGACAAACTTTTTCAAAGTCTTACGATGAACAGAACACATCAGGATTCCCTGGGGTCTTACAGAAACTTCTTCACCAAGCATCACTGACAACTCGGTACTTCAGAGGTCCTGTTCTCACCCAAACACAATCTCGCTAAAAGCTGTAATATGTAGACAAACCAAACCAACACCTGAGAAAACACAGCTTATCTCTTGATTTTAGTACAATTTCTGGTATTCTCTTTGCGTGTTTGTTTTTTTATCTTAAAATATTTTTACCTTACCAGGTAAAGTGGCACACCTCTAATCTCAGCACTTGGGGGGTAGAGGCAGGTAGATTTCTGTGAGTTCAAAGCCAGCCTGGCCTACAAAGCAAGTCTAAGACAGCCAAGGCTACACAGAGAAATCCTGTCTAGGAAAAAAAATGTATATTCCTTAAATGATTAGATCTCTTCTTTTCTATATACTTAGCCCTTTTGCTTCTTCAGTCTCTTACAAGCTTTTGTCTTGTCCTTTAATTTCTTATTTCTAAGTACCTTAGTTTTAATTTCTTTTATTCTTTTAGATATGCTTGTTACAAAAGCCCTAAAACAGAAGTATGGCTTATTTATTTTACTTCATTGTTTTTTTGTTTGTTTGTTTGTTTTTTGATGGATAGATGGGGAATTATGTTTTTAAGATCTGATTGTATGTCATTGTCAAAGCTGACGATGTAATAAAGTTTTCCTGCCCCCTCTGCGCACTTTCAGCACTGAGCCATCGTGGCAGCAAGTTAAGGATGAGGGCAGAGGATGTGCTGAAAGGAGGCATGAGGAAACGAGGTTATGCCCCCAACAGTACATGCTTTTGAAATCTGACTAACGACCAATGTCAACAACAAAGCCTTCGCATGGGAGCCACCCATGAGATACAGTCCCTATTCAGATCTTTTAAAGGAGAGATTTCCCAATCAAATCCATTCTTCTAAGGGTGAACTCCTAGTCCTTTACTTTCATGATATGTGATGAGGCTGACTGAGGGCAAGGCGAACAGAGAACCCCAGCTGAGGCAGCAGAGTTCTGCCCGCTTGCTCTAGCTCAAGCCGTACAAAGACAGCAGATTCGCTGGGGCTTCCCTTTCTTGGCGCACTCCTCCCGGAGAAGCTCTGGGACACTGATTTTTTTTTTTTTTTTTTCAGCTCTAGGGTGACACTCACTCTCTAGTTTCTTAATTTCCCCAAAGATCCCAACTTTCATTAGAAATCTGCTTATGGATCTAACTCACCAGCCTAACCAAGGAGCTCTGCAAATCTGCCCCACGAGGTTGTCACCCTGTTAGCTTAATGAGTCCCGTGACAATTGTCCAAACACTTCATTTACAAAAAGTTTTCTGACATCCCAAAGCCCCAGCTCATTATCTCGGGCACTAATGCCTCTGTGTCGCCCCTCCTCACATCACTTTCTTACGTGGCACTTTGACTATGCATGGAGCATGGGGAATGCACGCTAGCTATCTACAGAAAAGCCATCTACACAGTTCCGGTGCTGGGATAACACAGTGATGTCAAATCTATTCCTAAAACTTCCAAAAAGGGAGTGCAGACATCAGTTAGTGACTTCGTTGATTTTATTTAGAATGTCCATGTTGACTTTTGCCTGCTCAAAATCAGTGTCCATTAAAACACACAGAAAAGTATGGCTATAGCAAAGCCAATTCAGAAGTTGAAATTCTTCATGCCCTAGCAGATGATACCAGCCACCTTCAGGAACATCTTATGCAGATGTCACATCCCAGACAAATGACCCACAGGAAAGCCACTACTACAGAGATACAAGGGATGGCTAAGAACAAGGACTGAAAACGTAAAGCTTAGCTGTCAAGTTTGTCAGATTCATTCATGAAGTCATGTGCATGAAACTTGCTCTCAAACTTTCAGACCCAAATGTTTAAAAAAAAAAAACCTACACTAAATTCATACATCATATTACCATAATGTTACCGCACCTTTTAAAAATTAATTTGTATGTTGCAGTACCACACATGAATTCACTCCTTCCTGTTGAACAGGCTTAAAGTTAGATGTTGGTTAGATGTTGGATATTAACTTGAAATGTCATTTTTAGCTGTTAATGCCTTTTATAACACTTCAGTTGTCTTGAAGCATTCCTCAGATCTCCCACACATCTTCCTCAATCATCAGCTACCCAATATTGGCTCACTGGCTGGTGGAATATAGATCCCAACTCCATACAATAGCATAAAGTCTGGTAGTTTCCATAATTGTATTGAATTAAATGTTTTTTAAAAACCACAAAATTGTATTTATTTACACAGAATTGTTTTCTGGAGTTTTTATTTTTTCTCTCTGAATAAGTTAATGTGTTTCGAATTTTTGTGACTAATACTGGAACAATGCAAACTGAAAGTTCAAAATTTAAACAACAAAACCCCACCTAGCCAGTACTCATGAATGTCTCTTCTAAGGCTAAATCAGTCACCCAGGATCTTTCAGAGCTTTGCTGACAATCCTGTCATGGCGGACAATTAGCTCTCTGGAGCTTCCTGCTGACTGACTGAGCTTGTGTTTGGCATTGTCTGTTAGATTTCAGGCTGGTGACTGAACCCGTCTCTGATGTCTCATCTAGTTCTTTTTACTATTTCAGTTTCTCTGTCAAATGTCTTGCCTTCATCTTTACAAAATGAAGCAGACCTCACTCTATTGTATTTTGCAGGTATTATATCTTTTAAATTTTGAAGGTTTGTGGCAGGCTGGCATTGGGAAAGTCCACTGATGTCCTCTCTCCCCGTATCAGATGACAACCACATTTCAGCACTGAAATAGCTTGATTACAGTGTGAGTATTTTTTATACCACGTACAAGACAGATCATGATGGCATTTCAGTACAACTTTCACACGACCTGGGAAGGCAGAAAATACCGTGGCTTGCTTTGCTCCACTCTGTACTTGGCTGAAGGTGTCTGGAGCTGAAGTTACACCCTCTGAAGGATGTGTATGCGTTTTTGAAACTCATAGATCTGTTTTATGAAAATGGCCAGAATCCTTTCTCAGTCTTGGAAAAGTTGGAAATGTCACCAACTTCCATTTCTTTGGGGGCCATTACTGGAGCTTTGTTAGTTTTGTTTTGTTTTTGTTTTTGTTTTTTGTTTGTTTTTTTTTTTTTTTCATTTAGGGTTTTGTTCTATCATGTTACATGTATATCCAATTCTGGAAGGGCTGAGCGGAAATGATATGGGACAGCCAAATCGTGCGTGATCTCTCTAGCTCGCTACAGTGCTGCCTTTGCTCTGTGGTTGGGTAAGAAAGAACCTGAACTACTGGCCGGACCTGAGGTCCACTGGACAGGTGTTCTCAGACGTTCATTCCGGTCAGGCAGTTCTACTGTTGGTTTGCAAACTGGGCACAGATGTTAGGTGTGGAGTCACTGATGAGGCGATCCTCATAAGACCCAGCTGAAATCTGCTCACATCCAGCAAGTCTGGGTTTCTGTCTTGGAGGTGGCGCTCCTGCACGGGTGTGGCTCTTAGGCACTGCATCGAGCAGAGCCGCTGCCCAGCCTCTCAGGCCAAGGTCAGGCCACTGTGCTTCTCTGAAGTGTCCAGACAGGAGGCACCCTGGGAGCATGTGGTCACTGCGTGAACCTCTGGCTTGAATGCAGAGGCTGGTCTCATGAGCTGGGCCTGTTTTCTCACTGTACATCTCTGAAACGTGAGGAGTGGGAGGTCTCCACTCACACCTGACAGACCAACAGGATTTGTTTTGTTTTGACTGACACGGGCCAAGGCCTGGGTACCAGCCTCATTCCTGCCACTTCCGCTCTTGGCTGGAAGTGCCTACACTCGTTTCTGGGCTCACTCTTTAAAGCGCTACGTGGCTTTAGCTAGAACAGCTTTACATCATAGTGTCTCATGATATAGAACAGCTGTAGCTAAAATCATTCGCTACAGTAGAAATGGTCTCTTCACAACAATGTTGGAGGGAAAGGGTGTCCACATGGAGAAAAATAAAATTGAATACTTACCTCCCCCCCAACATCCAAAAATCAGCCTAAATGAAATGTAGTATTAAATATAAGACTCCAAATTGTAAACATATTAAAAGAAAATATCCAGGAGGACTCCATGGTTTGGGGCTGGACCTGATTTGGGAGGTATGACACCAAATCACAGGCAAGCAAGCAAACACAGTCAAGTGAAATTATATCAAATATATATCAACAATACCTTTCACAGTGAAGGGGCAATCAGTCCAGTGAAGGAAAGGGAGAAAGCATTGCAGGCTTTACATTTGAAAAAAAAAAAAAAAAAAAAAAAAAAAAACAATGTTAAAACATGTCCCTCTAGTGATTTTATGAATGTTTCCTGCATCCACTGCACATGTGTGTGTGTGTTGATAAATATCTGTTCAGGTATTTTCACCATATTTAAATTTTTAAAATTTTTTTTTGCTATAGATTGAATTCTTTTTTTTTTTCTTTCAAGACAGTGTTTCTTTGTATAGTCTTGGCTGTCCTGGGCTCACGTCAGTAGACCAGGCTGGCCTTGAACTCACAGAGATCCACCTAACATAAATAGTTAGAATTTTAAAAAATTAAACAGCGGGTGTCAGAATGTTCTAAGAAATAACAAAACTGAATGGCTCAAATCAAGTGTAGTAAGTATACCTAGATATATTCTTGAGACAGAAAGACAAGGAAGAAAGAAAGGGAAGAAAAGAAAAGAGAGTCTGACACCAGAGACCTATCTATATTCAGCTGATGAAGCTGTTCGGTGGTTGGTGTTCAACCATATGCTGACGTGATTTCTAATTACCCAGTCTTGTACTAGAGCATGGCCTAGACAGTCATTCACTCTTCTTCTCATCTCTGTTTGCAGAACCTGAATTTACACACAGGAAATGGCCAGCCAGCTGGGGCTGTTCGACTCCCTCACTCCAGGCTCTGAGCTATGGCAGAAATCTCAGTTGTATTCTTTCCACTGAGTGGCTGGGAAGGCCCCATGTGGAACAGAATTGCTCTCCTTAGCCAGATCCTCTGCTTCACTGTGAATAAAGTACTATGGCTGGATTTCCACTGGATGTCTTCTACTGATCACGAAAGTGACTTTCCTACATTAGTAATAAATATCTTCACCACAATTCTCAAATGTGCCCTTTGGGCTTTACATGCTTCAGGAACAGCCACTGTCACTGCCAATGTCATTGTCTCTCTCACAAGCTCTACAACATGATGTTTTTTCATGGTTCTTTGTCTCCTGCCTCAGGGATTTGCCTTTGTGTGTATGTATATTGGATACTGTCCATCCGTTTTTCAGTGAAGTATTTAAGTTCCTTCCTAATTAAAATTTTACTCAAATCAATCTATGAGAAATGTGGCCTCATCCTATAACGAAGGATTGTTCTTGGTTTGAGTTTTTCTTTGATTTATCTTATTTCATATGCTATGGGTGTTTGGCCTCCACATGTGTCAGTGCACAATTGATCTTGAGTACCCGGAGCAGGGGATTGAGGGAGGGGTTTGTCAGAAAGCATCAGTTCCTGGAGCTGAAGTTACAAATGGTGGTGAGCCGCCATGTGAGTGCTGCAAATCAAACATCAGCCCTTTCGAAGAGCAGCTAGTGTTCTTGGCCACTGAGCCATCTCTCTGGGCCCTTGTTTCTCATTTTAAAGACAAGATCTCAAAAGTAGCTTTGTGGCCTCAAAATCAGTACGTAGTCCGGAATGACCCTGAACTCATTTTTTCTGCCTCCGCTTCCTAAGTGTGGGGACTATGGGGAGGGCGCACAAGGGGTTAGTGTTTAGTAAGAAGTCTGGGTCCTGCTTTCTAATATGTAACAGTCACGGTACTCCAGCTCAGTATCTTGGGCGGTATTTATCAAATTTTATCTCTCAAAACTTACATTTGTGTTAGGCAAACATCTGAATCTCAAATCAAACATCTGAAATCAATGAAAATTAACTTTCTTCTCAAAAGAGACCTGATCATGATTTGTGGTTTTAAACATTCATAATGTTTGGACATTTCCTCTCTTAAATTATCATCAAGTTACACAGAAATAAATGTTTTCTCATGCAGTCCATATGACAGAATAAAATATACATGGAGAATGTGAAAATACACAATTTATTATTAGTGCTTTCTGATAGCTCATGTTCTAGCTAATGCTGGATGAAGTGGAATGCATATTCGCTCATGTACATAAAAAGTGGTGGTACAATGGTATTTTTTAAGTGGCCTAAGTTTTTTTTTTAATGATGCTCAAGAACATGTTCTAGAGCTTTAAAAATAAGTATAACTGATATGCAAAAAGAAAAAAATTAAAGCAAAACATAGAAGACAAAAAGAGGAGAGAAATTAATTAATGGAAAGTAATTATGAAACATTTACAAATATAATAGAGCTAAATCTTATTCTGTAAATAATGATTTTAAGTATAAATTATCAAAACATACTGTGGGGGCCAGCAAGACTGTTCAGATGGTAAAGGCCTCCATCACAGACACACACACCCACACAGACTCAAACATGCATATACACATACATGCACACCACACACATGAAAGAGACAAACAAAACAGAAACGCATTGAGAGACTATCTTAGACTCACTTTTCCAGAAGAGCATGGAAGGACACAAATGCTCCTGCTCATTTCCGATGTCATTTTGTCTTCCCCAGCTTTCCTGATTCATGTGGTCGGGAGGACGATACTGACTTAAACTCATTGCTGATCAAATCTCTGCAAAGGCAAACATTCTCTGACTTTAACCTTTGCTGCTCAACACTTAAAGAACTGTATCTCAGGTGGAATACAACTTTCTACCTCAGATAATCCATAAGAAACTGTTGTTTGAATTAGCACATTCACTGTCCGCCCCCCTCAGAGAAGTGGCCCCATCTTTTAAGGCTATGTTTTGTATCACAATTTCATGAATGACTAAGATGGTTGAGGGTCATGCCGGCTGTTTAGCATGCAGACCTATTTGAAGTGACCGTGAAACACAGATGCATTCTGAGCATTTCTCAGGCTTGGGTATAGCTAATTGCATAGGGGCTCCATGCTGACCTGATAATCCAAGCAAGGCACCCAGAGTTTTAAGTGCATCCCAAAAGCCTGCAAGGACTGTGCCTGACTCTTCTCCAGGCTCAGACAGCAGAAGTGGCCTGTTCCACACTGAAACAACTGTCACCTGCGGGGAAGTTCTACAGAACCACATCTTCATTGACTAGTGCCTTAGTTAGGGATTCTATTACTGTGAAAAGATACCATGACCACGGCAACTCTTCTAGAGGCAAACATTTCATTGAGGCTAGCTTACAGTTTCACAGACTTAGTCCATTTAGACCATGTAGCCCATCATCATGGCAGGAAACATGGTGGCATGCAGGCAGTCATGATGCTGGAGGCAGAGGTGACAGTTCTACATCTTGCTCCACAGGCAGCAGAAGGAGACTGTGCCACACTACGCCTCCTTAAGCGAAGCAGACCTCAAAGTCCACCTCCACAGTGACACACTTCCTCCAACAAGGCCACAATAGTGCTTCTCCCTATGGGGCAAGTATTCACACATGCGTGTTTGTGGGACCTATTCAAACCACCACAACTAGGAACACCGTCTTCAGACTAGAGAAAGACAGGGGTCAGCGGCAGGGGAGTTCCCTCTGACGTCCCGAGCTTGAGATGTTGCTGGTGAAGGCGTGACTAACAAACACCTGTGACTGTGAGCCCCAGATGAATGCTTAACTTTACTCATGTAGAACTGAAACCAAACATACCCTTACTCCTGTCTTACACTCTTTCAGTCAAACACATAATTATTTCACTTTATAAAAATGAACATTTTTCCAGCTCCTACATGGCAGTCTACAACCATTTGTAAGTCTGATGCCTCTTCTGACTTCCACAGGTTTATGCATGTACATACACATACAATTAAATCATTTTTAAATTATTTCTAAAATTAGGCAAGACATCTTGCCTACATGAAAGCTGAAAATGGACAAAGGACGTAAACATGTCTTACAGAAACACTGGAATCTGACATCTTTATAAAAAAGAAAAGTCAGCCAGGCTCAGAAAAACAAGTTAGAAGTGGAAACTTGGTTTTATTTTAATTTGTGTGTTCTGTGTGAATATATGGAACACACACATTTGTGTGTGTGTGTGTGTGTGTGTGTGTGTGTGTGTGTGTGTGTGTGTATCCATGAAGAACAGAAGATAGCACTGAATCCTCTGAAAATGCAATTATAGGAGGTTGTGAGCTGCCCAGCATGGATACTGGGTTTGTCATCTCAAAGTGTAGCAAGTGCTTTTAACTGCTGAAAATGAAAGGAAATGGTTTAGAAAGAGTAACAGAACCTTGGCAAGAGAAAAGTAGTACGAACAAGAGAAATGGAGGTGATGTAAATATGTTCCAATATATTTGAATGAAAATGCTATGAAACTATGTTACTTTGAACGATGAACAAATTTTAAGGTATATATTATAAAAAAGAATACCATAGATATTACCCTTCTGAGGGAAATTTCTATATGGGTTTATGTGTACGGTATAAAATATAAACTGGCCAAATTTGGCGGGGTATGCAAATGGTTACCCTTTAACATCAGCTAATCTCAGAAAAATGGAAATTAAAACCACAGTAAGTTGCCACTTGTATGAGTGAGTTTATCAGTAACAGAAAAATTGTCAAGCGTTGTTGAACATGTGTAGATGAGCAACCCATTTACAAAAGGAGCTGAAAGTGGATGGATAGATACCCATTAGAGAAAATGTGAAGGTTCTTCAAAAAGATTAAAATGCTGCTACTGTAACAATCAACAATTCCAGTTCTGAACATGTTAAAGAAAGGGTTTCAGGTCAATGAGCTATTGATTTCTGCCTGTTGCAGGCCTGTCCACAGGTGTCAAGGTATGGAATTTATGAGTGTCCATGGTACATGAAAAGAAAATGTGAATGTCCCCAATGAAATGCACCTCAAAAACGGCAAAATCCCGTCACTCTGGACGTCACGGATTAACCTGAAGGACGTCATGCTAAATGGAATAGCCAGGTAGAGAAACTTACTTAACGATGTCGCACGATGAAGTGGGAAAAGTGGAAATTACAGGACCACAAAATAAAAGTGGTAATTAGAACACGCCCAGTCAGCCTTGCTCCATCAACGATTGGTAACGTTTACTGTCACTCAAGCGAGTCTCTCCAATCGCGGTAGTGTCTCGGGATCTGCCCAATCAGACCCACTCTCCGCGGCGGGGCGTGTTCTCCCGATTTGTCTCCGGCTCCGCCATGTTGCTTCCGGTTTCCGCCGAGGTCCGGCCTTGGTTGTTGGGTCCTACGCTCTTTCTCGGTGAAAGCCACACCAGGGCTGACGTCCGGCAACGAGGTGAGTGCAGCCTCTGCGGAACCGGCGGGAGCTGCCTGGGGTCGGTCCTCATCCCTTCGACTGTTCCGGGTGCAGACGGCGCTGGGCTGGGAATCTGCGCTGCGCTGATCTCACCTGTCTCCGTGCCGGAAGCTGTGCCCAGACCCAGGGCCCTAATTTCTGAATCCTTGTTCTGCGGCGCCTGAGCTTAGCTCTCCCTCCGCCAGGTGACCCAGTGTGGGTCCCCACGCTGCAGGTCCAAAGGACTTTGCACATTGTCACTGTGATGTTTTGTGAGGGCTTCACCGGAGAGGAAGGCATTGAGGAGTCCAGTCGCTTGACCAGTTAGGACCCTGGTGGGAAGGACGTTGAGAAGGGAGCTGTAGGTGGAACCCTAGTGCGGGGCCTCTGAGTATTAGCCATCCAGACCAGAGTTCCCCCAGACAGAGCCATCACTGCGTTCTCGCTTCGTCTCCCAGGGCATCTATTCTAGGGTGGCAGTAGAGACCTGTTGTGTCTGGAGGGAAAAGCTATGACACAGCGGTAGTTCACGGAGGAGCGCAGCTGCCTTATTGTGGTTTCAGCTCCTTTGGGTCCACACTCAGAACTGTGGCTTCCTGGAGCCTGTGTTTTGCTTCGCGTGTCTTAAAGAATGTTCTTTTTAAAAATGCCGTAGAAGCAGGGTGTGGGAACACAAAGTTGCCATCTCAGCCAGTTTCCCTGGAAAAACTCAGGCTAAAATCTCTGCAGGTCACATTTATTGTAGCTACACTGGCCAGAGGGAGGGAATTTGTGGGAGGGAGCTAGACAAAGGCCTGGTTGCAGGGAGACCAGCCATTGTGAAACCTCATTCCTACTGTCCCGCAGTAAATACACTCAGTGTTCCACTTTGCCATAGTAGTTTTGGGAGGAAACCATCTAAATTGGATGAGGATATGCTTTCTATGAAAATTAAATATGCAAAACAAGAGATGCGCCTGTAGACATCCAGTTCCATGTGGTGTATCTGTATTGAACTGTACTGAACTGACAGGAAACTAAGTAATGTTGCCTAAGTATCTCTCTACAATATAATTTCTGTGACCTTATCGTGTTTATTAAACGCCCATCCTTAAAACATCACATTATTTCTTCAGAATAATAGTTTACTAGGCAAACGGCAAATAGTTCCCTTAACCTGTGCATCACCGAATGGTGGACCGCTGTCATTTAACAAAATGCTTGGTGCCCCTTGAACAATATTGTGGCAGTTTTCAAGTGTGACACACTGTTTCCACGCAGGGACGATTTTTGTTGTGGCTTTCTCCCTCAGCAGCTGTCTTTGTGCATTGGAATCTGAAAGCAAGGCGCATTCTAGTGAGTTAATTTCTGTTGACCTTCTCTTCCAGCTGTGATTGCGCAGTCCTCTCCTGTCTGAAAGAGTCAGGGCAATGGACGCATCTGAGGTAAGTTGTGTATTTGTGGCTCGCCTTGTTTTGTGTTGTATCTTAGGACTTTTGAAAATTGAAATGGAAGAGTAAAGTTAACGTGAGATAGAGGTCGGCAGATGGTAGCATTGGCCATGTTGACAGAGCCGTGGGATAAGGTCTTTTGGGAAATGATTAAGTCACATGCAGACTGGTCTCTGTTTTTCCTGAAATGATGGAACAGACGTCTGTTTGTTGTAGGGTTTGGATTGACTCAGAAAGAGGAGGTGCCAACTTGTCATGCCTTGAGGCCTCCTGTACCTGCATGATGTGGACAGAGCTTCATTCCCAGCCTGGAGATGAGTACAGCGTCCAGTAGTCTCAGTTACCAATGTTTGAACCCAGATCGGTTCACAGGGGTTTTCTTTGCTGGCTAACGCTGTATAGTTCCAGACAACTTTTAGAAGACCCCAGTATGTCACATGAGGCCTGCACTGTATGAAGACAATGTCCTGCAGGTCCTTCGTTTCTCTCCCTGCATTTTTCCCTGCTTGTGTGTATATGTAGATCATGACAATGTCCAAACATGTTTCTAGTAATAATTTGTCTTTACTGTTTGCATTTTTTCCCTATGCAGTACTCTTGGTTCAGATTCTCAACGTTTCATCACAGTCAAATGAAAACACTGTTCTCTGCCAACTGCCATACTTAAATCTCCTGCCATGCTGCAAAGTTCTGCTCATCACCTTCCTCTGGAAGTTCTTCATTTCAGTTTCTGTCCTAAAAGTTGCTGCTGCTTTCTTACCTTATTTTTCTGAGTTCTTTTTCTCCTTTATTTTGTTCTGCTCAGCCCTCCACTCATTCCACCTTAGAAGACTTCTGTGATCCAACCCTTTGGTGGTAACTATTTCTCAGTAGCGTGGACTGCTCGCTCGGCTTTCAGATCATAAGTTTGACTCCTGTGCTGATAGGCGAAGGTACCCAGGAGGCCCCCTTTCAAAAGAAACCACATCTTTCGGTTTTTCCTTGTATGTGGTAATGGTACTACTCTCCCTTGTGGCCTTGATGAGTATACTGGCAGGACGGAATTTGTTTCTCTTTACCCCTCTTTTTATTCCTTTCTCTTGCCTTCCCCTCCTTTTCTTCCTAAGGCCTAATGTTATGAGCTGCAGTTCCTACTCGTTCTGTTTGTTATTCATTCTTGCGCCAATGGCTGCATGTGATGCTGTCAATGGTGAGGAATTGTGGTTGCTTAAAGACAAATACACTTTCTTGCTCACAGTGGAACTGTCCGTCTCTGCCAGACCAGAGGGTCTGTTTCTTCAGTGGTGAAAGAGTTAGTGGGAGACCATCTCAGAAAGAGTCTTGAAAAAGGCACACAGAGCGTAAGTGAAAACAGAAGCACAGAGCTGAATACTGTGCGTATCATGCTTATATATTTCACATAAGTACTTCCATCCAGTTTGTAGATTATCCAAAATCTATTCCTTGCTCAAAAATGTCTTGGCATAATTTTATAAACACAGGAAACAGACCAACTAGATTTCAGTCTCTTCAGGATTGGGACAGGATTTTCTACAGAGGTTATAAGTACAATGGGTCAGGTTCATTGGGTTGCATGATGTGTCCCATAGAGAGGAGCCAGAATGTAGGAGTCAGCAGGTAAAGCTGTGGAAAGCACCAGAGACTGTTCCCTCCAGTGGTTCCGGTTCACGGTCAGTACCTTAGAAGGAACACTGGATTCAGAAATGGAGGCCAAACACTTGGGAACAGGAATGTTGATGTGCTAGCTGAATGGTAGAAAGAGATAAAGGTGTTTGTGTATCTGGTCAAACCTCACTAGAAGTGGTCTCAGCAGAGGGCTTTACAAGTAAAGTACTAGTATTAGGAACTTTTTAAAGGCATGGTTTCACCATGTAACCTTGTTTGGCCGTGAACTTGCTCTGTAAACCATGCTGGTCTTGAACTCTCAGACCACCTGCCTCTGTTTTCCACATAGTGGGTGTAAAGGCATGCACCACCATGCCCAGCTGCGAGGACTGTTGTTTGTTTCCCGTCCCCCTGACCATATGCTCCACTGGCCTTGCTGCCTTATATTGAGAAGGGCAATGTTTCTATTCAGCTGGAGGGACTGATTTTATCCTGAGCACTGTGCTTCTTAGACTCCAAGGCCATAGGTGGAGAAGAACCACAGTGCTGACTTTGCTGAGCAATCTAGATTACCCAGGGAAAATCAGAGTAGTCTACAGTGGAGGGAAGAAAGGGTGTTATTTGCTTTTGTATTGCTGTGACCAAGTACCCGAAAGAAACCACACAGGGGAGGAAAGATTTGTTTTGGTTCATTGTATTGGTCCATCGCGGCAGTGATGGCAGGTTGGAGTGGCTCCATCAGTGGAGGTGGAAGGTCAAGAGGAGCAGCTGTTCACACTATTGCAGATCTGGAACCTGAGAGAGCAGCATAACCTCTAGAGACACCCCCTTTCTAGTCTACCTCCACCAGCCAGACCCTGCCACATAAACCTTCCACAGCCTTCAAAGTAGCACACACATGTGGATCACATGCTCAAAGCAATGAGCCTGTAGGGAACATTCCGTATTCAGACCATGGAAGGAGAGTGCGTGTTACAGGAGAGCCCTAGCGGCATCTCATAACTGCCCTCTAGTGGCCAAAACAACCGTCAGGCAGGACTGTAAAAATGCCAGATACTCATGTATGACTATGTGGATCAGTTCTAGTAAAGAAGCATGGTCTGCTGCTGGGGAAATACAGAGTTAGTACTAGAATTAGATAGACAACTAATACACACACACACACACATATATATACATACAACCAGTTATAGAAATGAAGACTGTAGTTATGTCAGTTATTTCTATTTTATATCAAGTTTGTTTATGGCTGAGGGTGGTAACTGTGGTAGATCCCTTTCCAGGAATGTTTTTTTGTTTTTGTTTTTTTTTTCTGTGTTCATGTGTATAAAGCAGATATTTTGGATGCTAATATTTTTTGTAATTTTTCTTAGGTATATAATTAAGAACTAAACATTTTTAGAAGTGACTTAGTCTTTTTGTGATGCTGTTTCTTTGTCTGGGGACCTATTTTGATATATGAATTAAGATTTCTCAGCTTGTATTATACTTGTATGTTTATTGACTCTAAGTCTTTTTAGAAAGGTATTTCCTCACTGAAAATTAAAAGCAGAACAGTTTGTACCCAGAACTCTTGTTTGTATCCAGTCAATGTAAGCCGTACATTCAGTTTAGTGTGGATGTGTGGGTGTCTTCTCCCATGTCTCCTGCCTCCTGCTCAGACCTGGACCTTCCCTAGCGGATGCAGTTGTCTATTTCCTCAGAGGTCAGAAGCTGTAATAGAGGTTATGTTTTGATGAGCAGCAACTCCAAGTTTAGTGACGGTACATAAGCAAGGTGCCTATTGCATCTGTGGCTACAACAGCATAACAGAGTGGCCTTTCTGGAGTTTGCTGGTCAATGAGGAGAGCAGCAGACCACGTGCCAGCTTCAAAAGGTCATCGGAGGTGGCATATCGCTTCTGCAGGTGTTGTGTTAGGTACTGTGTCCAACATGTCCTGGACTCCTCTTCCACACACCTATGCCAGCACATCCAAAGTACCATCTCTTTAGCACTTTATGCTTATAATCTTGTGTCCCAAAATGATGCCAGGAATTCATTGAACATCCACTATGATAAGCTGGGTGTGGTGGCACACACCTTTAATCCTACACTCGGAGGCAGAAGCAGGCAAATCTCTGAGTTCAAGGCCAGCCTAGTCTACAAACTGAGTTCCAGGACAGTCAGAGCTACAAAGAGAAAACCTGTCTCAAAACAAAACAAAAACAAAAACAAAAACAAAAAAAAAACGCTCACTATGACTACCCTTGTTGCAGATATCTGGCACTCAGAGACAAACTTTAACCTACCCTGCACATAGTATAACAGATGGCATTAAGCTGAAGGGACGAACCTTGAGAGGCATCATCTTCCTATAGTCTTGAAGTCTTAGGCAAGTGTGGTGAATAGCCATAACCCTAAAGATTGGACACCTTCCCAGATGAGGCTGTGCTTCTGTAGCTGGGCTGTGATCTTCCAAGCTCAGGTCTCTCCTGTAGGAACTTCTCATTGTGTTCCTCAGGAAGTTTGCTGGTGATGAATGAAAGCCTGCCTCACTGATGTTTTGTACTCAGAGAATAGCAGTCCTTTCCCTCTCTTTCTTCTTCACAGCTCTCAAATGCTGCTTTTTGTCTGAACCAGGCAGTAGGTACCAACTTCAAAATGTAATCAGAGATGGCAGATCCGTGCAAGTGTTGCCTTAAGCAGTGCCAGTTAGTCGTGACTCAGTTGAAGTAAGGTGGGAATGGAGGCATGTGTTCTGCCCTGGTTCTGTACATACCACCTTAATTTTGCAAGTGTCCCAAAAGAAATCAGAAAGCAGATTCTCATGGGTAAAAAGATCTATTTTTTTCTCCCCACAAATTGTCTGCCTTCTTTCCTGTCACCTAGTCAAAGCATCAGTTCCTATGTAATTGCTTACGTCGATAGCTTGGAAACAAACTGGTGTTTTTATCAGAGACCACAAAAATTCCTGAAGTTCCTACTCTTTATTTTCTGTTTTTCTTTGTGTTTCCTTCTGTGATGAGTTCCCAGCTCCTATCTTAACCTCTTTCATCTGCCTATGTATCACTGATTGGCCACCAGCTATTGGCCCCTGCCTCAGCCTTCTGAAAGTAGGCTCTGTGGAGCTTACCATATTGCATGGCTTCCAGTCTGTATTTTTAGTGTGCTAGTGTATTTCCCGTCTGGGAATTACGAAGTGATTCTTCCCCTCTGGCTTCACCTTAGGACCCTCCTGTTTCTTCTTTCACGAGATGAACTTTCAAAATGTCAAGGTGTTGAGCTAACCAATTTTCACTGGCTCTGCTTGTCTATATAGGATGCTAGAGATATTTGTTTCAGTTGATCTAGCAGTTCTTCTAAATTTTCGATGGGCATATATGACTATACTTCTTTATAAATAATCTATGGGCAACATTGACCCCTTGTTATTGTAGTTGTTGGAGTCAGAGATGTATTTGAGTGGAAAACGAAATGATTATCAATTGCTTATTTGTTTTCTGCCTTTGTATATCATCATTACTAAATTAGTATGTTTATAAGGCATTTTGCGGATGGTTTTTCTTCCCTGATAAGAAAGCTTACATGTACATCTTGTGTAAACGATGCTTGTGGAGAGACGTGACCTGCTGTCTTCCTGTCTCTGACCCAAGGCTGAGCAGAGTTGTTTCACTACAGGGGCTGGTGTCATTTGAGGATGTGTCTGTGGACTTCTCCAGGGAAGAGTGGCAGGACCTGGATGCTGCTCAGAGGAAGCTCTACAGGGATGTGATGCTGGAGACCTACAGCAGCCTGGCGTCCTTGAGTGAGTAGAGGGCCACAGTAGTCCCTGTAGGAGCTTAGTCCTTTTTGGTAAAGACAGGAACACTCCCAAGGATTGTTTTTCTGTGCTAGTAACCAGATTGGATCTTGTGTAGTCCAAGTAAGCACCCAGCACTGAGCTTAATCTTCCCTCTGTTTATATTTTCTTAAGATTTTATTTTTGTATATGTGTGGGTGCCTGCCTCCATGTATGTGTGCGCCATGTACATGCAGTGCCCAAGGAGATCAGAAGGAGGGCAACGGAGCCTCCGGGACTGGCATTACAGACGGTCGTTAGCCATCATACTGCTGGGACCCAATATAGGTCCTCTGCAAGAGCAGCAAGTTTTCTTAATCACTGAGCCATTTGTCCAGGCCCATATTTCATGTGTGTGTGTGTGTGTGTGTGTGTGTGTGTGTGTGTGTGTGTGTGTGTGTCTGTCCATCCGTCGCGAATATGTGGGTGTTGAGGTAGGGTCTCTACATAGTCCTGGAACTCACTCTGTAGACCAGGCTGGTCTTGACTCACAGAGATCCACCTGCCTCTGCCTCCCCAGTGCTGGGATTAAAGGTGTGCGCCACCACATCCAGCCCCTACTTGTATGTTAATTGGCTCATTGTAGTTGTTCATATCTGTGACAGTGACCTGTCTTAAAATATTAGGCTCAATGAGCAGCTCCTTTCTAGAACTCGGCTCTCTTCTGCCTCACTGCAGAGGAGGAGCCCGAGCTCTCAGCACAGTGAGAAGCAGCAGAGGACAGGCAGAGCATCAGCACTGTCAGGTTGAACAATGGAAACTAAAAACAAAATACTAAACTTTTGTATTTATCCTTTTAAAAACTCTTCCTATATAGAGGGCATGGTCGTCCATACCTTTGATTCTGGCACTTGGGAGGCAGAGGCAAGGAGAGTTATGTGAGTTTGAGGCCAGGCTGGTTTTCTACATGGTGAGTTTAAGCCAGCCAAAGCTACATCTGTCTCAAAATAATTAAGACAGAACGAACACAGACACACAGAAACCTCTTCCTGTTACTTCTCTTTTGGTTTGGTGCTTGATTGAGCCAGTTTTTACCTTTGTGCTCTCACTGATGTTACTTCTTGTTCTAATCTTGCTCTGGTGTTTTATCCCTTCTCTGTTTCTCGTTCATTTACTTGTTTTTTGTAGGAACTTACTGCTTCCCTTTCGCTGCTCTTAGCACATCTTACCACATGGCTTAATAGTGGTGTAGGTGTTGTTGGTGTTTTGTTGCATTGCACCTTTAAGTTTTTTTGTTTGGTTTTGATTGTTTTTAACAGTTCATCATTCAGGTCTGTTTTTACTTTCAGTGTTTTTGTTTTGTTTTGTTTCATGTCTGACCATGGGGTTCGGGTGGCTGGTGTATGTTTTGTTGCGTGTGGTCCATGTACATCTGTTTGTGAGGCTTACCTGACTGTTTGCATGTGAGGAGGCCACAGGAGACTGCCCCTTCTGTCTTTGAGGGAGACTCATGGAACCAGAAGCTTGCCTTTCTAACCTGGCTGTTGGCCAGCAGTCTTCTGGGATCTGCCTTTGGAGGCCAAAAGACAGCATTGGATCCCCTGGAACTAAGGCTGGAAACAGTTGGAAACCTCCATTTGTGTGCTGGAAATTAAACCTAAGTCATCGGCAAGAGTGACCAGTGTTCTTAACCTCCAAACCATCTCTCCAACCCGGTGCATTGTTATTATTTAATGTACCTAACTTGGTAGTTAGCCAAAACTTGTATAATATTTCCTATTAATAGATCAGTGTGATCTCAAACCTGAGTTGATCCTGAAGTTGGAGCAGGAAGCTGAGCCATGGAAGGAAGAAGATGCCTCAAACCAGAGCTTCCCAGGTCAGTGAATGCACCCTGGACAAGGAGGCCAGGTTGAGGAAGCTCATCAAATGGTGGCTGTGTTGAGCTCTTTTTTCTATTTTCTCATGTCCCAAACTTGAGTATAAGTGTTCTTGCTCATCCAGCAGGAAGTGCGTACAGTCTGCAAGGAAAGCTCTTTCAAATAAATGCATGCATACCACTCGTATTAGTCAGGGCTTCCTAAAGGAAAAAACTGATAGAACACAGGCACATGCGCACGCACGGGATTTATGGGAATGGATTACAGGCTGTGACCCAGGTAGTCCATCAAAGGCTGTCCCAACAGAAAGGCCAAGATTGTGGTGCTAATCAGTCAGTTTGAGCTGTTCAGCAGTACCAATGTGCTGGAATCTGAAGGATCTAAGAAAGCTGCTGTCTTCAGTCTTCATTGGAATCCTAAAGTAGGTTCTTAAACCAGTGAAATAACGCCTCAGCAGCAGGATAGCTATACTTGCCAGTGAGAGTGAGGGCAAGCAGCAAAAAGCAAAAGCCTCCTTTTACCATGACCTTTCATTTAGGCCACCAGACAGTTTGGCTAAAATTTAGTGTGGGCCTTCCCACCTCAAATGATCCAGTCATGAAAATCCCTCACAGACATGTACAGCTGCTTGAGTTTTAGTTGATTCCAGATAGAGCCAAGTTAACCAAGATTGCCATCTTTGGCTGTTTTTGACATGTATTATCTTGGGCTTAGCAAATTGAGGGCAAACCTTCACATGTAACTTCCTTCCCCCCTTCTAACTTTGGCAATATGTTATCTTAGCCTAAACAAATTCTATGCAGGCTGTGGTTGTTCTTACACATTTGTTGGTGCAGTCATTTTATTTAAGCTCTTGTTCTTCTTTCTTTGTTTTTATAGCTTATTTTGAATATTTATTCATGTGTTTATTGCTTATTATTTGTTCCCTCTTGTCTACTTGTTTGATATTCTGGACCAAACTGGTGAATCAAGAAAATTATCAACAAACTAAAGAGCTCTATTGTGTTGAGAAACAGAAATTTTGTCACTAAAGAATCATCAGCCCTCCCCAAAATCTTCCCTGAATGAAAGAAGGAAAAAAAAAAAAATAGTTAAGATCTGAAGAACATTCAATTTTAAGATTATTGCCTTCTTCTGATTTGATTTAATTTAATTTTGGAGCACTGATTTCCAAACCTAGTATTCAGTGTGTAGATGGACACGAACTCTCAAGAGTGCTTATTATTTTATGGAAAATCCAGTTTTGATACTAATTTGAAACTAATACTAAAGGATTGATTAGAATATGAGAAAATGAAATCATATACATGCAGACAGAGAATTTGTGAACTGGGGGCCACTTAGCACACCCCAAGGATGGGGTGCATTTAGAGCTTGGTGTGACAGCAAGGACCCTTGGGACTTGAAGGTCAAACGAACCACAGATTGCATTTTTCTAGGCTTGTATTTTGTGTACTTAGGATTGTACTATGTAATTAGCCTTCTACTTTTCTCTTTGTAGAAATCACTCTAGCTCAGCACATACAATGAATTTGTACAGAAGCTCCGTTTGTTTTGAAATGTTAACATAGTCAGAATTCCCAAGCACAGGTAAAAGCATGGAAAAGCATGATTTTCTGAATCAGCCTGTATGTGTTCACACAGGTAGGAAAATGCCAGTCATTAATGTCAGACCTATGCAGAAATCTCACATTTTCAATGTTGAGGGTACACTCTGGTTTTTAAAGAACCAAATGTTTGCAGCCTTCCTATGTGTTATAGTTAATTCAAGAATCCATACTACTGTATATGGAGCAAGATCATCAGTATCTGAAAAACACTGGAGGTATCTATGTCATTTCATCCAGAAATTCTTAGGTAACAGACAAGTGTAAAACACTTGATCTGTATGGGTGCTAACCAGAAAACCTTCCATTTCTTTATTTCCTTCTAGATACGCAGAATGTGAATGCCTGGAATGAGATCAGCCAGGACAAGCAAAAGATATGTGGATGCGATCTGGTAATTGCCAAGAGCAGCACATCAGCTAAGGAGAGGTCTAAAGCAGGAGAAACATTTACTAGCTCACACCGTGCTTTAAGTCTGGCTGTAAAGAATGGCATGACTTCTGGAATGAGACCTGGGGCACTTAATATGTGGAGTGATGTGCTCCTCCCTAGTGGGCCCAGAGAGGTGCAGGCTGGAGAGGAACTTGACCTTCCCCATGTAACCAGGGTGTCCTCGAGACTTCCTGAGCCTCTTAGTCTGTATGGGAACACTGAGTGTGAAGAACATCACTTTCAGTACTGTGGGCCCAGGGAAGCTTTCCACATGGAGACAGTGTGGTTACAGAGCACATTCCCTAGGAGGGCTCCCCCCAGGAAGCTGAGGGACTACGGGAAAGGAATAGAAAAGTTAGCTCTTCCTTCCCAAGGGGGCACTCAGGTACGGGAGCAGACTTTTGGATGCAAAGTGTGTGGGAAATTGTTCTATAAAAATTTTCATCTCACACAGCATTTAAAAACACACAAAGAAAAGAAGTATTATAAAGGTAATAATTGTGAGCCGATGCTCAATATACGATCAAAGCTTCCAAAACATCAGAGCTTGGGTATGGGAGAAGAGCTTTCATCATTATGTAATGACGAAGAGAAATACATTTGTCAGAAATCAGAAAAAAGCGTTCAGCAGAGAATCATAGGGGATGGAAGGAATGTGTATGGGAAAACTGTGTGCTTAAAATTCAACTGCAGTGTTCAGCAGAACCCTCGCAGGGGGGAGAGATCCCATGAGTGCAATATGTCTACAAAGACAATTAGCAAGTCAGCCCTCCACCAGCCTGAGCCGCCTCACAGATATGAGAGAGTGCGTGCATGTAACACATGCGGGAAATCCTTTAACCATTCGCCAGATGTCCACTCGCAGTCCAGAGATCACACAACGGAGAAGACCTATGAGTGTAAAGACTGTGAGCAGTCAAAACTCACTGTGCCTCGGCAGGCTCACACACAGGAAAAGCGCTACGTGTGCCATGTCTGTGGAAAAGCCTTTTACAAAAGAGCTCACCTAAATGCGCATCAGAGAACTCACACAGGTGAGAAGCCGTATGACTGTAAAGAATGTGGCAAATCTTTCAGGCTGAAGTCGTTTCTTGTTGTGCATCAAAGAATTCACACAGGTGAGAAACCCTTTTCATGTGATACATGTGGGAAAAGTTTCAAGCAGAGGACCAGCCTCTACACACACATAAGAATTCACACAGGTGAGAAACCCTATGAATGTAAAGAATGTAGGAAATCTTTTATTCTCAAGTCATATCTCACTGTCCATCAGAGAACTCATTCTGGAGAGAAACCCTATGCATGTGATGTATGTGGAAAATCCTTTAAGCAAAATTCCCACCTTCATGCACATAAGAGAACTCACACAAGTGAGAAACCTTATGAGTGTATCGTATGTGGCAAAAGTTATAAGCAGAGTCCAAGCCTCTACACACATAAGAAAATTCATACAAGTGAGAAGCCCTATGAATGTAAACAGTGTAGAAAATCATTTAGCTTGAAGTTCCATCTCACTAGACATCAGAGAACTCACTCGGGTGAAAAACACTATCAGTGAAATGTGTGTAGATGAGCCTTTAAAGTAGAATTCACACCTGTGTGCCTCAGAGAACACATGGTGGGAAATCCTGGGGAGGACATGGAACAACTCTACCACTAACCATCTGCCCATGTTTATTAGGGCCTTCAGGGGTGAGAAACCGTCAGTGTAAGGTGGGCAGATTCAAGCTGGTCCATGTCAGAGAATTCACACAGGTGACAGCCAAAGGTACATCAGACAGCTCACAAATGTGAGAAACTTAAGAGCATATAAATGTAAAAATAACTCATTGTTCGGCAAAACACATACAACCTGGTATAGTGTATGTACAAAAACCTTTCTCCAGATGTCATATCTCAGCGGTCACTAGGTAATTCACACCCTATGAGAAACCCTCTGAATGTAGAAAATCCTTTAGCCATAGGTCATTCCTTACTGCATACCAAAGAAGGCACAATGGGGACATCTCCATGAATGTTGTTTATGTGCAGAAAACACTTACTCAAGACAAACCTCCGTGTTCACCTGAAAACTCAAAACTGAGAAACCCTATGACTGTAAATACAGTAGGAAGTATGTCCACCATAAGCCATCTGTCGCTGTACATGAAAGAAGTCACATAGGTGAGTAGCCCTAAGCACATAGGTGAGTATAATGTCAGCGGAGAACCCTTTAAAAGGTGTCTAGTCTCTTTGCATTAAAGAACTTGCACCACTGAGGAACCCTGAGAGTAATCTACACTGCCTTTTCCAGTCGGCAGACTGAACATCAGTAACTGCTCAAAGCACATGAATAATGTTATGTGGGAAACTTACTGGATATCAGACCTTCACTCGTACAGATGTAATCACTGTGTATCTGAAAGAACCACATACTGTAAGTCAGACCTCAGGAAACATTTGAATTAGCACAGGGAAGACTGAAAACAGGTGGGAAAATGTTTCTGTGGGAAATGTTTCTGTGTAAGAAGTTGCTCGGCACAGATTCTTCCCACAGAGGCCCGAAGTCCAAGAAACGGAGTGCCAAGTGCTCTCCAAGATGTACTTTCCTTCCTGCACTCATCAGCCTGTGTCTGCAGTCCATTTCTGTTAGTGAGCCCTGTGCTAAGCTCTTTAGTGGAATACAGATGTGTGTTGTGTATTGGTTTATATCCCACTATCCCCAGATCTTACAGCAAACTCTACCTGGGTGCCCGTCCATAGTTGGCCTGAGAGCAGATAGCCTCTAGCATGTTTGGGAGCTATGCAGAGAAGGGCACTGTGGCTTAGGATGTGCTTTGTCCAGGGAGCTGTGGTCCTCTTAACATATTTCTGCCATCTCGCTAGTGTTATGAAAGAGAGGTCTGCAGGATCTGTTTGTAATAGTGCAGACCCGCAGTTTACTTTAAAAGGTGGTTGAGACAAAGAGACTGTCTTTTTAGAAACCGTCAGGAGAGAGATCCTGCTTGCCATCCTTCATCCTCATGATGCTTTGTGGGAAAGAAGAAATCCTGATAAAATTCCCATAAAGACCAAATGTGTTTCTGGTAGGTATTGTCCATTAAACAGATCATTGAGTGAACATCTCCTGTATATGTGAAACCTTTCCACAGAATTGCCGGCTAGGTTTCAAAAATCCTTGGTCAAGGAAAATCATCACTATAGAAGCTGTATGTTAATATTTGAGAGAGATGTTAAAGCTCACATTCCCGTCATTTGTCAAAATCTGCATGCCAGGAGAAGAATATTGTAATACTGCCAATCAGTGGGCATCAGTCTTCGTCTGGGGACCTTTGTAACACTTACGTAGAGTTTGGGAGAGGCCAATGGCACATACAGTGATAGAGCTGAGCAGCCTACAGTATGTTGGCTAATACACTCATGTATATATGGTTCATGGATATGAGTATATCATATGAAATATATTCCTTGATGATACTCAGCAGAAGGGAATCTCCATGGCTTCATGTAATACGTGTTGAAATGTATGCTACAATTTCCCTCATTCCATGCCATTCTGGCCTGTTTACTTCTAGCCTCAAACATTGTATTATACACTTCTTAGTCTTGTAGCACATCTGAATGTGTGTGGCAGTTGTTTCTGGCTCAAGTAAATAAAGATACTGTTTTTCTAACACGATGTCTCTGATAGGAAAAGTGTTTGCAGTGAAAAGTACACAAAGTGACATTTGTTGACAGCTGGAGTGTGGATTGATGTTGGATTGTTGTGAACTGTAGTGCTCATTCTCTCCCAATCTCAGAGGGATAGTTTGTTTTTTCACACCTTTAAATGGGGCGTCAGCATAGGCGGGAGATTTGCACCAAATGCTTTGTAACAGGTTCTCTTTAATTTCTATTTTTTAAAAAATAGAACCTGTCTCAGTGTGTCATGCTGAAATTAGATAAAGTACTTGCCATATAACCTAGAGTGTGATTAAAAATACATTCTCTAAGCATTATGGTGAATTAGATTACAACTGTCTATCGTTTAAGTTGGTACGAGGCTACAACAGAATGTTGAGAGTGCCACGATGTATCTTAGAATGTGCCAAAAAGACAGATGGAAACATGGAAGCAGTAAGTAATCCGCTGTATACTGACCTGTGGAGGCAGAGCCATAAAGTGCTTTATTAGTGGATAATGTATGGCTTTCCTACTGCTGCTGCCAGCAGGCCAAGGTGGTAATCAAAGCGGCTGCCCCTGTGTGTGGCCCATGGTGGGGAAAGTGCCCGGAGCAGCTGTAGTGGTTCATCCCCAAGCTGTGGTGTCCTGCTGCTTCCCCAAGCTGGGGCACACTGACTCCATCCCTGCTGTGTGGTAGCCCACTGTAAGCCTCCTTCCCTCCGAGAGCCATGCCTAGCCCTCAAGCCGCCCTGGGGCTGCTAAGACAAAAAACAATGGCTGCTCCTGTCAGCGCCTCAGCGGGAGCTGTCCATGGTGACTCTTCCTGCCTCAGCCTACTGCTAAGGGAACCGACACCTTTCCTGCCTCAAACTGTATTGCCGCAGCCATGGGAGCTCTCCGTGATGACAACAACCTCTCCTGCTTCAGCCTGCTGCCTTCGCGGTGAACTCTAAATTCTGGACACTCTGTAGACTGTAGAACCTCAAGGCTGAAAAGCCGCCAGACCTCTGCTTGAGGAAGCGCCAGCAGCCCAGCTCCTCCCCCAGACCTCTGCAACTGTCATCCCCAGCCCCTCAGCAGGACTCCTCCCAGATTATGCTAATTTGAGGTGAAAAGTCTGGACAAAAACCCACGAATCCCTGAGCAGAAGAACTAACCAAGCCCCGAACTTCCCACTAAAACCCACCAATTCGCGAGTAAAAGTACCATCCAATCCCTGAACAGGAAAGCCCACCAATTCCTGATCTTCCCAAGTTTAGGACTTAAAGTCCCACCAATCCACACTCTAGAAATCTCTGCCCCAGAAAGCTCCGCCGCTTAAGAATGCCTATATAAAGGCTATGCTGCCCAGTTCAATGCTATCTCCTTCTGGAAGCCCAGGTAGCCACTTGTGGATTCAACCCTCTTCTCCTGGATTGGTCTTTCCAGTAAATATCTCTTAAGAGGTTTCTTCTCTTAAGAGAAGAAACAAAAGGAGCAGAGCCCACGCTCCTCAGGGCGTCAAGGTTGGGGCAACCCTCTCTGGGAGCTGCAACATCTTTGTTGAGGAGGCCTCCTCTCAGAGCTTGAGATTCCTGGGCTCCCGTGGCTCAGGACACCGCCCACCCAGAGTTGGATACCTTCCCCACTTTACCACCGGATCAGGAAGGCAGACCACCAGCAATGGACCTCATAGATTATCAGTGTGCAGAACTCTAAGAACCCATTTCAGTAGTGTATAGGGCCATTGAAATAGCTCGTGTGAGACCTGGGGACTCTTCTTTTTGCAGGGAGGGGCCATTTACTTGCAGGATGGTATTTCTCTTGGTCCATGAGAAATAGACACCAAGTTACAAACCAACGTAAGAATTCTTGGTGTTATGATGCTAGTGCAAAATTCTAGCACGTGGGAGGGAATGACAGCATTGAGTCTGAGGCCTATGTAAGGGACCCGTACGCCTACTGTTACAAACATGCACACACACACAAACTCTGCCCTAGACTCATACGTTTGATTTGAGCATCTGTGCCATCACTCCTGTCAACCTCCCCAGGAACATGTACAATGGCAGTCACATAACTATGTGCGTGCATATTTAAAGGGAAAATGGTAAGGTACATAACCAGATTAAAAACAACATAGCCAGACTAAAAATAATTGTTCCAGAGAACAGTAGATTGTAGTTCAAAATGGTATTTTGGATTTAAAGCAAAATAGGTCCTTATGCAATAGTAAAACTGACACTGATAAAACATCTCTAACTATGTATTTAATAACACTTAGTATATAAAGCAAAATACTCAAGGGCTCAGGGTTGGAGCAAGAACTCTAGGGCTAGAGGAGGCATTGAAGTGACAGTGGACAGTTGGAAACATTACTGAAGTAAAAGCCTTGGTCGTTGTGTCTGAGCACATGTTTGGCTGTGTGGAATTCCAGTGCTGGGCAACCAGAGCCAACTCTAACTGCCCGTAACAGCTTTAGGAGGCTCCCATCCTGCCTATCCAGCACCTGTCAATCTTCTCTTTACTCCTGGTCTCTGGCACTCTTCCCCAGGAGCTTTGCAGGGAAGACCAGCTTTCCCAGCACTGTCTCCCTGACCTTGTCCAGCAGCCAAGGCATCTGTGGTGATTTGAATGAGAATGGTCCTCAGAGGCTCATATATTTGAATGCTTAGTTACCAGGGAGTGGAACTGCTTGAAAGGAATAGAAGGATTAGGAAGTGTAGCCTTGTTGGAGGAGATGTGCTGACTCAGACACTGCTCTCCCATTGAGTCCAAATAAGTGTTTTTTTTCTTGTGGATCTTTTGTTGTTACGGTTGTTTTTGTGTTTTGAGATAGGGTTTCTCTGTGTCGCCTTGGCTTTCTTGGACTCACTCTGTAGACCAGGCTGGCCTCTAACTCAGAAATCCACCTGCCTCTGCCTCCCTGAATGCTGGGATCACAGGTGTGTGCCACTGTGCACACTTATTTTGGTTAAAGACAAAAGAAAACAAATTTATGCTCCTAGTGTTGCTCACCATTTGCATTACTGTGAGAAAACACTCAAGGTAATCAACTTAGGGAGAAACCCTGAGTTTTGCCTCATGTTTGCAGAAGATCCAGTTGATGGTTGGCTGGCTTTTACACTTGTAGCAAGGCAGTGTTTTTGAGGGGGCTGGGGGGTTAATGCTAGAGGTATGCTTTCACATCCTGGAGGCCAGAGAGCAAAGAGAAGACAGACCTAAAAAGGTCAAAGAAAAATGAGTCTTCAAAGCCACATGTTTGGTGCTGTTTCTTCTCCCTGAGTCGTCTCCCTCCTTTCACAGATGTACCAAGTCCCAGTTGCCGTCACACAGAGTACACAGGTACATTAAACCATTTGTGGCAGAGCCCTCATGACTGACCAGGCCTAGAAATATCCTCATATACAGACAGAGGGTTGGTACAATTATAAGTTCATCTCTTAAGTCAAACTGACAAGATTAACTACACTTAGAAACCCATCTGTTTTCATTGCTTTTAAGACGAGGATGAGGACTGCAGAGATGGCTTGGTGGTTAAGAGCACATATTGCTCTTGCACAGGGCCTGAGTTTAAAATTTTAAAGTGTACATTTAAGACTTGTAGCTTCCTAAGCCAGGAATAGTGGCATATACCTTTAAGCCCAGCATTTGGGAGGCAAAAGCTGGTGGATCTCTGAGTTCAGAGCCAGGCTGTTCTACATAGGGAGCTCCAGGCTATCCAGAGCTAAGTAATAAACCCTGTCTGAAAAAGAGAGAGAGAGACTGTAGCAGCTTTGAAACTGCAGAAATGGTTCAGCGACCATCACCACTCACTGCTTCTACAGAGGACCCAAGTTTGGTTCCTCTGTATTCAGTGGTTCCAAATTGCCTGTACCTCTAGTTCTAAGGAATCTAATGCCCTCCTTCAGCCTCTGTAGCCACTGCTTGCAAATGGTGCACATAGAGACAAGCAGGCACACACAGATATAAGTTTAAATAAAAGAAAAGAAATGTGGGGCTGGAGAGATGGCACAGCAGTTAAGAGCATTGCTGGTTTCCCACTTAGTTGAATTCCCATCACCCACATTGAGCTGCTTGCAACAACCTATAGCTCCAGCTCTGAGGGCCCGGGGGAGACTCAAAGGATGTCTCCAGTGTCTTTGGGGACCCCTATGCACATTGCACATGCCCCCTCACACACATAATTAATAAAACATGTTTTTAATTTTAGATTCATGTGTACGCATATGACCGTGCAAGCACAGGTACTAAAAATAAACATGTCTAGGTAGACAGGGTAGGGCGTGGGCCAAAGCAATAAAGAAAGTTCAAAGGTGCCTAATAAGTAGTTGTTGAAGCTATAAGAAGTTTATTATATTGTTAGTTTTGTGTGTATATTTATATATGTGTATATTTTTCTGCAATAATATATATGTAAAATATATTTATAAAAAGCAAAGTTAGGCCAAGTGTGGGGGCAAACACTTATAATCCCAGTAGCCTAGTAGCCCTGTGGAGGATATAAGTTCAGTGTTATCTTCAGCTACATATTGAGACTGAGACCATCCTGTGCTCTGTGAAATGTCCAAAGAACAAACAGAGGAAGTTGACAGCCTTAGCACCTAAGAATTTCATTACTGGACCAGGTGAGTAGCTTACAGTGCTTTTCAAGAACTTGTGAAGCTCATATCTAACAGTTTCATATCTAACTGTTGGCAGAGGTTTCTATTAAACAGCAGGGACTGGAGAGGTGGCTCAATGATTAAGAACACGGTGCTTTTCCAGAGGACTGAGGGTTAGTTCCCAGCACATAGCTATTTACATAACTACAGTTCTAGGGCATTTGGGCACCTTCTGGCCTCCTCTGGTACCAGGTGTGCATATGGCACAATTACATTCCATACAGGCAAAACACTTACACACAAAATATACATGTCTTAAGAACAACAACAAAGATCTAGTATACTTTTTGGAATAGGCAAAGCCAGACTTACTGAGAGCACGAGAGAGGCTAATTCCTTTTTTTCTTTTCTTTTTCTTTCTTTTTTTTTTTTTCACTATTACACAAGTGTATTCATTATGTAATAATTCATTGGGCCTTTCATAGATAGAATGCACATTTGTTTTGTTTGCATGCTATATGTTAATAAAAACAGTATTATATACTGTCACAAAACTCCATGGCAGTTTTGTTCGCATTAGTTTTTAAAAACTCTTTTATTTATGTTTCTTACATCTTTTTCTCCCAACTTCACCCCAATCCCTTCCAACACCCCAACACTAGGTAGAAGAGAAAAAAGGGTTAGTGGGAGAGGGGTGCAGTTCTCTTAGCTGCTTCCTGCTGGTTAGGGTCTTTGGGTTCCTTGGAGCCAGCCCAATTCTTGTTTCGGGAGATCTCCAACTTCTTGACTCAGAACAGCAACCAGGAGCAGCAAGAGAGAAGCAGGAGCAACTTTGATCTTTTTCTGAGCTCCACACTCTCTGTGCTCTGGCATTTATTCTCTCTACAGAGACCTCAAATTTAAACATCTACAGCTGGCAAAGAGCTCCTCTCAGAGCCCACACGAAGCAAATGGTCTGCTGCTGAATCAGTCCCACATCCCACACGTGGGACCAAAACAAAAACATGTTTATATCAACAACACAGTTTTTCAGAATAATCAAAGAATTTAGTACCCTCTTACTCTTTGCCTAGCCCATCATCAGAAGGATGGTAATTGTCTCCAAATCCTAAACCTCGGGCAGCCCCATACACTTATCAGTTGTTAGGCCAGTTTTGTAAGTGGTAAACTCTACACTTAAATTTTAAAAATCGTGTTGGGTGTGGGTGGGAGGGAAATGTGTAAGTGTGGGTGAAGGTACTCAGAGAGTTCAGAAGAGGGTGTTGGGTCCCCTGGGTCTTGAGTTACAGGGGGTTATGAGCTCCCTGGTGTGGATGCTAGGAACAGAATTCGGTTCTCTGCTCTTAGGCATTTGCTTTTACCAATGACAAATCTCTCCAACCCCAACTCTGCATTTTTTTTTTTAATGATACAACTTTTCCTTGCAATGTCCCAATGCTATGGTGCTCACCAGCCTTACACAACAGCATCCTTCACACAGCAGGGCAGTTGTGGTGGTGGGTTCCATAAGGACAGGTTTTGACCAAGAATGTATTCCTAGGAGATCACTCTGGTTTCTCTTTCAGCAATCCAGACACTGTTCTCCATCCAGGGAGATCAAATAAAGCATTGCCTGGTACAGTAGACAGTTATTACAGAATAAGGTGAAGCGTTGTTGAGAGTGAGCAAGGACCAAAGATTCCATTAGTAAATAGGCTTTACACTTCAAACTGAAGTTTCCAGAGTAATTCCCCAAGAGTCTTTTATCCAGGAATTGACAAGCTTATTTAGATTAACTTATAAGAATGGGGCAATTGTATGTCTTTGATGTTTTATTTATTTGGCTGTCCTGGAATTCTTTATGTAGACCAGGCTGGCCTCGAACTCGGAGATCTGCCTGCCTCCATGCAATGTGTACCACCAAGCCCAGCGTGTGTCTTTGGTTTTATAATCTTGGAGGCAGTTTAAAATATTACACTTCTACCAAGAGCCAAAGTTATGTATGGCTCAGGTCCTCTTCTGATTGGAAAAAAAAAAAAAATGGAGTTATGATGAACTATAAGAAACAGCCTTCGCTTCAACAAGAGACTGTTCTCTTCCGTTTTTCTCCCTTTCACATAGAACTTTAAATTTTGAAGAGGGGCGATTGCTTCCCTATTTTCCTGTGGTGGTTTGGATTCTAAGGGCAGTTGTGGTACTTTGGTTTTCTTTAACTTATTATGTGTCCATCCTCAAAAGACCTGATAACGCCTGTCTAGCTATCTACCTAATAAGTAGGTTGCTTATGCATGAGTGTTCTTCCTGCTTGTAGGACTGTGCACGTGTGCAGTGTCCATCGACTCCAGGGAGGATTCTGGATCCCCTGGCTGCCACGTAGGTGCTGTAAATTGAACCCAGATCTTCTGGAAGAGTAGCCTGCGCTCTTAACCAGCTCCAAGATTTTTTCTTTTCTTTCTTTCTCTGACCTGGAACTCAGAGATCTGTTCACCTCCGCCTCTTCAGTGCTGGGATTAAAGGAGTGTGCCACCGCACGGACCCAGCTAAAAGCTTTTTTTTTTTTTCTTCCATAAAGCAGTTGTTTCTGGGTTTAGCCTCACAAAGGATTCCCTTTAGAGCTTTGGTGTATTCAAAAATGCAACGACGTCACCAGCGAGTGACGGGGATGCCCTTAACTGTCAAAACATTCAAGACGGTTGCGTTTCACACGCTCCGAGATCCAGACGTCCCCGCGCACTTTCGGTTTGTTTCCGGCGTCGCCATCTTGCTTCCGGTTTCTGCGGGGGCGGGTGGATTCCGGCCTCGGTCCCGCGCCAGCCCGTCTGAACGTCACCGTGTAGGCAGACGCCTGCCTTCTGGGTGAGTGCAGCCGGTTTCTGCCGGCCGGGCAGGTGCCGTGCGGTGTGCAGACGCGCGGCCTGTGCGGGGGCCGAGCTTACGGCCGCAGTCGCCCTGCGTCCCGAGGTGGCCGAGCCTCCCCCTCCTGGATGCTGCCGAGAGACTTACAGTCAGCCGTACCCCGTCTCCTCCCGGTCCTGATCCCGGAGCCACAACTGCTGTGTCCGCTGTCCCGTTGCCTAGCAGTGACAGTCCTAGCTCTCAGAGCAGCCTGACGTGTGCTGGGGCATCCCCCGGCCTCCATCTTTACCTGCAAGTCTCTTAGGTGTGTTGGCTTCTGTTGGACAGTGCACAGTAGTTGCACACACTTTGACTGCGGAGACAGTCTGTCCACCTCGGATGGCCAGTTAAGAGTGACCAAAGTAAGGACTCCACCACGGTCCATCTTGCTGATCCCGTGAGTTTATTGGATTTACTCATCCAGAGAGGATGGATGGCCCCACCAAGGCCCACCCCATGATGGATGCTGACCTCGTGGAGAGCCACATACAGTTAACTCTCCATTTCACGCACACTCTAGATCATTAGCAAGGTGAGAGAGGTACCATGGGCGAGAATGGTTGGAATCCCAGACGAAGGTCCTTAACCCGCGTACAATTAGAATGTAACAGCTCCATTACCTCTGCCGTAGACCTGTGTTATTTGGCTTATTTCATTGTTATGGATTCCTGGTCAGTCCTGGGCCAAAGCAGTTTGTCTGTGGAGCATAAATATGTGAACCAGCTGATGTGGGGGAGTCGTGTGCGGTGCCTCTGCATTGACAGGAAGCTAGGAAATCTTGCCCAAGTGTCTTCTATAATTTCTGTGACTGCATCGTGTTCATTAAACATCCGTCCTTAAAACACTGCAGTATGCCTTCATGCTATAGTTACTAAGCAAGCGGCAAATACTTTCACTAGCCTATACGTAAACTATAGGTTTGCTTTCTAATTGTGTTCTTTCCATCAAATTCCATTGAGTTCTTTCAATTAAAACAGGGCAGTTCTCAAGTGGAAGGGACTGTCTTCACACAGGAGGCTTTTTTTGTTGTTGTTGTTTTCTAGGTTTTTCCCTCAGTAACTATGTAGAGATATTGGAATCCACCAACAAGGCACAGCAAGTGCCTGTTTACACCTGTTTACCTTTTTTTCCAGCTGCGATTCCAAGGTACTCCATGTGCCTTAGAGAGCGAGGAAAATGAGCACAGCTGTGGTGAGTGGTGTTATTCCTGACCTTGTTTTACCTTGTGGTTTAAGAGCTTTTTTGTGAGATAATTAAAATTGAAATGAAAGAATAAACATAAGACATAAACATACACAGACATAATAAGATGATAATGCTGACACAGCTACGTCATAAAGGCTTTAGAGTCACTTGAACTGTGCAGTTTGATCACTGGTTTCTCTGATCGCATGCTGTGTGTGAGTGCTTGGATTGACCCCAGGGGGAGGATACGATCAAGTCTCGGGGCCTGTGGCATCTAAACAGGCTTCATGGACACAGGCACGCTGATGGGCACACTGCCTCACTCCCAACGCAGAGATAAGCAAAGATCATGATTGTTGCGAGTCTCTGGTACTCAAGACACATCTGTTCCATCACAGTTTTAAGTTACAGTTCAATGATAGCACGATTCTCTAGCTGCCTTACTTGAAACTTCTGCCACATTTGAGACTATTATTTGTGATCTTCATGTGGAAATTTTCTCATTTCAAGTTTTTTTTTCCCTCGTGTGTGTGTGTGTGTGTGTGTGTGTGTGTGTGTGTGTGTGTGAATATTTGTAGATGTGGGCAAATACCTTCCTTGATTACTTTCTTTATATGGTGGAGTCTCTCACAGTTCTGGCAGCTCTCGCCTGACAGCTTGCCCTGGGGATCCCTTGTCTCTGCCTCCCAAGTGCTGGGATTATAGGCTGCCACTGTACCAGCCTGTCTTTCCTATGGGTCTGAGGGTCAGGACTCTGTTCTCTCATGTCAAGCATTTTATCTTCAGCACCCCTTTCTGTGCTCAAGACCCCACTATGAAACGAATTGTATGACTGTCCTTGTGTTCTGCTTTTTGTCCCTTCCATCCCACTGTAGACTCTGCCTCAGGCCTCTGCGGCTTGACTTTTCTTAACTATTTCTCTGTAGCTTGTACCTTTCGCTCAGCTTGACACCTGTGTGGCAAGGCAAGGGCACCTCTAGGCCCCTTGTCCAAATGCAGACCGCATCCTCCATTCTTTCTTTAGGTGGTATTGAGAGCAAAATACCAAGTGGCTTTTACCTCACTCTAAAAGGAGGCATTTTTCCCCTTTGATCTCTTCGTCCTCCCTCCCCGTTCTTTGTCTACTAACTGCTCAGAAGTAGGGCATAGCATTTGTTTTGATTTGTGCGTGCTCATGTGCAACATGGAGGTCAGAGGACAACTTGTGGGAGTTGGTTCTCTCCTTCCACGTGTCTTAGGGATTGAATTCAAGTCACCAGGCTTGGTAGCAAGCCTTCACCCTCTGAATCACTTCACCAGCCCAGAAGTAAAGTTTTGTTGTGTTTACAGAAAGCCATTCGTTTTCTGGTGGCTGCTGTTTTTTTTGTCATGTATTCAAATTTCTTGAATTTTAGTTATATTATTATTAACCAACAGTTTCTTTCAAAAATGCCTTTTTTTCCCTCCAAAAAATATAAGCAGAGTAGTTGTAGCTTGTGCTTCCTCAATGCTTATATGCTATACGTAGATTTACTATCACTCATACGTATATGAATATGGATATGTTGTTACTCACAACCATTCGTTGAAATGCTCAGTGGTCCAGCCTTAGGATCTGTGGTGCCTTTTGAAAACTAGACCCCGCTTCTTTGTCTGGCGCCCTCTTTCTGCCTTTCTTGGGATGTCACATGTGGTGTTTAGGCAGGCAACAGCTTCAGCTTTGGAGTCACATATTCATGTCTGTGTCACCTGTTTTACCACTTGAACTGCCCTTGTCTCTCCTGTCCCCACCTCCTTGCTGGTCCCCTTCCCCCTCAATGGGCCCCTTCTCTAACATCGCCTATATTTCATCATCCCCTTTTCTTTCCCCTCCACCCTCCATCAGTCTCTCAGTGCACGTTCATGTCTTCAGACATATGTATATATGGTATGGATTTAACTCTAGGTTCCACACATGACAGAAAATGTGATGATTGTCTTTCTGATTCTGGCTTATTTCAACTTAATAATTACCTCTAGTTCCACCATTTCCCTAACAGATGTTCATTCTTTGTGGCTGAAGAAAATTCCATTTTATATATTTGTCATATTTTCTTCACCTGTGATAGACCCTTACGCTGGTTCCATTTTTTTTTTTTTTTTTTTTTTTTTTTACTAAAGTGAATAGTGCCACAATAAACACAGATGAGCAGGCGTCTCTGCAAGAGGCGGCCCCAGATTCCTTTGAGTACATTTCCAGAAGTGGAATACCTGACCCACGTGGTAGTTTTATTTTTAGTATTTGGAGGAACTCTCCTGTTGATTCTTCAGTGGCTGCATTAGATTAGACATATGAGCTAAGTGGTGTATAAGAATTCCTGTTTCCATACATCCTCGGCAAGACTTGTTTGTTCTTAACTGATAACTGTTGTAATGGATGAACCTGGGACACCTGTGTGGCTTTTATTTGCATTTTCTCGATAGCTAATGACATAGAACTTTTTTTTTTTCATCTGCCTAGTGGGCATATATACTTCCTCATTTGAGGAATATCTGTTTGTTTTGTTTGCCCATTTATCAGTTGGATTATTTGTGAGTTTGGTGTTTACTTTTTTGGTTCTTCGTGTGTTGTAAATGCTAATCCTATTAGATATGTGTCTGGCAAAGATTTTGTCCCATTCTTTAGGCACGCTGCTTTGCAAAGTATTTTTAATTCAATGGTCCCTTATTTGTCAATTCTTGTAGTAAATTCCTGAGCTTTTTAAAACAATTTTGCCTAGGCTTATATTTTGACAAACTCCTAGCCACTATTATACTACATGTGAAATGCTGAAGCGTTTCCTTTAAATTCATTAACAAGCCAAGGCTATTGAAACTGTATAGTGGTGAGGTCTTGGCCAGTGCAGTATGGCAAGAGAAAGAGATCCAAGGGCAGAAATCAGTTCATCTTTATTTGCAGGTAGTGTGATCTTAGACCTACTCTAAGCACTCCACCAGGAAACTGTCAGATCAGATGACACCACCCACACAGTATGTCAGGAATAGAAAAGCAGCACATGAAACTCAAGAGGTGGTCCATTAACTAATAACAGTAGTACAGAGAAAGAAATCAGTTGCATTTACAATATAAATTTAATAAACCTCATAATGTAGTAATTCTAAAGTATGAGGCTAAAGACCTCTAAAATGGAGACTTCCAGATAGTAAAGAAAAAAAACTGAGTAAGGAAATGTAAGATTGAAAGAATTCCCATGCTCATGGATTGGCCATGTATTTTTTCATAGTATATGTTTATTCTGAAATATGTTTGTACACATCTATACGTGTGCATGCATGCATGTCTCATGTTTCCTGGGATGACCTTGAACTTGAGATCATCTTGCCTTCACTTTCCAAGTGCTAGGATCACAGATAAGAGCCACCGTGTCTGCTTGAAGAATAAATTATCTAATCTTGAACCTTCTTGTTTTCCCAGAATAAATGTTAAAGTCTGCTGCAGTTCTCGACATCTGCATCTTTTCCTCAGTCACTGAATACATTTCCAGTTCTTTGTTTCATGTCCTAAGTTGCTTTAAAGCTACTTTACTTCGTTTGTTAAGTTAGCTACCATTGGAATTTCTAATTCTTTCTGTTCTTTGTGAACATTTGTAAGATCTTGTTTGTTCAGTTGCCTGTTAGGCATCTTACATTTGATGGCAGAAACTTTAAATGAGTATGTCTAAGATCTGTTGTAACTCGTGCCTATCACAGTGAGTGTCATTTATTCCAGTTTCAGTTTACTCCCTGTGTAGACCAGGTTGGTCTCAAACTCAGAGATCCTCCTGCCTCTGCCTCTCATGACCTTGGATTAAAGGTGTGCTCAGCACACCTGGCCAATTTACCCTTTTTTATAGGACACTGGTGATGTGTATTTCTTCATGGCTACTAGCAGCTCTTCTAGTTTTAGGAAGGACATATAAGGCTGCCTATGAAAATGAATTTGTAAGTATATTTTGAATATACTTGGAGTTGAGGCATGTGTTTAAGTGGAAAACCAAAAGAATATCAATTTTATGTAACCTGTTTTCTACCTTGGTCACATGAGCTGGCGAGTAGGCAAGGCAGTGTTTAGTTAGTTTTTGTTGTGTTTGTTTTTGTTTTCTTCCTTAATAAAGAATGCCTATAAGGTACATCTCATGTAAGAGATGCTTGTCTCTGACCCAAGACTGAGCAGAGTTGTTTCACTACAGGGGCTGGTGTCATTTGAGGATGTATCTGTGGACTTCTCCTGGGAGGAGTGGCAGGACCTGGATGCTGCTCAGAGGAAGCTCTACAGGGATGTGATGCTGGAGACCTACAGCAGCCTGGCGTCCTTGAGTGAGTAGAGGGCCACAGTAGTCCCTGTAGGAGTTTAGTCCTTTTTGGTAAATACGGGAACCACCCCCAAGGATGGTAGTTGTTGGTTTTGTTTTTTTTTCCCTGTGCTAGGCCAAACCTAGAGCCTTGCACATGCTGGGAAAGCACCCTACCACTGAGCTGTCACTGCACATGGTAACTGTACATATTTATAATGAAAGTTGTCATTTTAATATTTGTGTAGTGTAAATAGTGATCAGTGTTTCATAAGTCTAGAAACCTAGATTTATTAGTGCTCTGTATTGAGAGCATTTAAACCCCCCTCTTATTTTCATTCTGTCTGCTCATTTAATGCATGTGAGTATTTTGCCTGATTGTATGTGTGCATACTGTGTGTGCCTGGTGCTTGAGGAGCTTAGACGATGATGTCGGATCCTTTGGAGCTGGAGTTAGGGATAGTTGTGAACTGCCAGGTGGGGCTGGGAACCAAAGCCAAGTCTTCTGCAAGAAAAACAAGTGTTCTTGTCCACCAAGCCATCTCAAGCCCCATAAAACCCTCCCTCTTACTTTCAAGTAATTGTTGCCATCTGTATTTAGCGCTTGTGTGCCATAGAGCAATGGTCGTTATGTGTCTCATCCAGCTGTTCCCCTTGCCTCTGTGAACCATCTTCTCTCCTTCCTTCCTTCCCTCCCACACACCATTCCTCGGCCCTCGTAGCTAGATGTTCTTTCTTTATGTTTCAGGCTAACCTTAGCCTCCAGCTGTACATGTGGATACAGTGTTTGTTTCTTTTGGCTCAATCTCCCTCACTTAATATGAGGGTCTTTTCATTTACTTCCACATCCTGTGACAGAAAATTCAGGGCCTTTCCATAGTAAGATGAGGTCATCCTCTCTGTGTTTAGCACATTTTTGTACCAGTTTATCTGGTGGCAGAACACTCAGGGAGATTCCATATTTCGTCTTCTTATGTGGTGGCGTGTGTGTGTGTGTGTGTGTGTGTGTGTGTGTGTGTGTATGTGTCTGTGTGTGTGTGTGTGTGTGTGTTGTGAACAGTTCACTGCCCAGCATTTCAGTAAGCACCATGCTGTTTCTGTTTCTCGTAGCGACTATTAGTTACATTTCCAGTAACAAGCTTTCCCTTGTCTGTGTGTCCTCCCAGTGTTTGTAACACTAAGTGTTTGAGAATCACTGCAGGTGTGGCTCAGTGAGAGCCTGTTGTTGTTTGATTTGAAATTCCGTGGCAATTAGGGATATTCACATCCTTGTGTCTGTGGAGAAATATCTTGTGGTCGTTTGCCCAGATTTCACCCGATCATTCCCTTTTATGCTCGTGCGCTATATAAGTTGTGGAAGGCAGTCTGTTATCAGTTATTAACAAGTTAATAACTTGTTAATATTTTCTCTTTCTATGTGTTTTTCTTGTAACTTTCTCAATTGTTAGCTTTTCTGAACTAAAGTTTTAAATTTTTATGTAACCCTGTCTTTTTTTTTTTTTAATATTTTGTGTATGTACATGCGTTTGTGGGTGAGCGCAGGGGCTGTGGAGGCCAGAAGCTGGTGTTACATTAAGTGAATACCTTCCATGGGTGCCGGGAACTAAGTCAGTTCTTCCACAAGCTCAGCGAGTGCTTTTACCCACTGAGCTGTTTCTCCAGCTCCCATAATTACTTAACTGTGATTTTGATGTCAAGTTTTAAAAGTTGACTCTTTTGTGTTTCCCCTGTTTTCTTGTATTGGTTTTATAATTTCATAATCTACATTTAAATATATTGAAATTTTTACTTGACTTCTATGTATGGGAAGAGGCGGGCTTAATGTTTCTCTCCAATATAAGGCTATCCAGTTAACATACAGTTTTATGGAGATTTTCCTTCTAAATTGAGATTTTCCTTCTAAACATTGCTCTGGTTGTCTTTTGTGAGGGTTGGCTGACTCTGAGCCTGTGCATTTGCTTTTGGTGTCTCGGTTACATTGTGATAGATTCCCTGCTTTTTCTTCCTGCCTGTGCAAGCTCTTTTGGTAACTTCTCTTCTTAGAATGTTTTGTGGTTAGGTTTTGATTGCCTGTTCTTTTATTCTTTTATTTTGGTTGGTTGGTTTTTGTTTTTGTTTTTAGAGACAGGGTTTCTCTGTGTAGCCCTGGCTGTCCTGGAACTCGCTCCGTAGACCAGGCTGGTCTTGAACCCAGAAATCCACCTGCCTCTGCCTCCTGCATACTAGGAGTAAAGGCGTGGGACACCACCCCCAGCCTTTTATTTATTTTTTTAAATTAAAATCTACAACTGTTCCAAAACTCACTGGTATTGATTACTTAGAACTGTCACTTTGTGTAGTGTTGACACAGATGTGGGGACTGGAACTTCGCTTGTGGTGCTGGGCGGGTGTTAAGCACTGTGGGATCTTTGTAAGTGCTATTTATATTCCTGGTAAGTTCTTTAAGTTGCTGTGAGCACTCCATCCAGTGTCCTTTTCTGTCCCTTGACAAGGAAAGACTTTGTGAATAGCCTGACTTGCTTCCCTGGTTGCCTTGAGCAAAGAGACTCCCAGTTAGTTGATGGCTGATTGACTCCTCTTAGGGCAGTACCCCTGCCATACACACTCCAAGGCACTCAGAGGAAACCACAGCTGTTTGCTCTCACACAAGGTTCAGTGCCAGCCAGCACAGTTTCAAAGTTTCTAACTGAATTTTGCTCTCATGCGTTTTGGTGAATTCTGGGTGACTCTACAGCCATGTCCACCTAGGTGTCGGAAGGGGAGCACTTCCCTTGTGGCCTGACAGAGACTGCTGTGGCTAGTGTTAGGTAAACGATGCTTTCCAGATGCGGACATTCCTTCATTCACATCCTGGCTTCCTGCTTGTGGACAAAGCCTCCTCTCTGGCTGTAGAAATAGACAGTTCAGCTCACTTGGAGAGCTGCCCGGGAGATGCCCTTCTGTGCTGTGTGCCCTGGTTTTGTTCCGAGAAAAGCCTTCTCTCCAGTCGTCTCTTCTTACCTAATTTTAGTGGGGTGAGCCGATCGGGTAAGACCAAGAATAGAGTAGCAAAGACTGGAACTGAATCCAAGAGACCAGAAGATGATTTTATCTCTTAAAAAAAGAACTCTTGCTGTTGATGGTCTTGCTGATGTGTTTGTATTCAATTCTTATACATGGTTTTTCTCCTTTCTCCTGCTCTCCTCTGATTCCTATTGAGTGTGTGTGTGGTGGTGGGGGGTGTGTGGGTGTGTGTGTGTGTGTGTGTTGGGGGGGTATTCAGAGCTCACTGCCACCCATCTACTGATCTGGCCAACCTCTGCAGTGTCTGGCAGAGGATGTTTAAATTTTTGTTGATTCAATGCATTTTTGTATTTTTTACTTGCTTTTTTTTTTCCTTGATCCAGGTAGTCAGTCAGAATGATGCCTTTATTCTGTATATATGTATTTTATTTTAACGTCCTCAGTGCTGGTTATAAATGCATGTTCACATAGAGTGCTTATATTGGTACTCTCATTGCTGAACATCTGAAACCAGTATTTTGCCATTAGGGTACAACTTTTACAATATCTCCTATTCACAGATCAATGTGATAGCAAACCTGAGTTGATCCTGAAGTTAGAGCAAGGAGCTGGGCCATGGAAGGAAGAAGATGCCCCAAGCCAAAGCCTCCCAGGTCAGTGACTATGCTCTAGACAGGGAGTCAGTCCTCATCAGATGGTGTTCTTTTTACTCAAGTTTGCCATCTCCCAACCTTGAGACCAGCTTCTTAATCAGATGCGTGCTGTACTGTGTCCAGAGGAGGCTCTCATTTACAAATGTGCCCTTCTCTCCTGTTTTTCCTGTGTATTTTCATAGGCTTAGCACATTCTGCTCGGTCTTCTTAAATATATATATAATTTTTTTGGGGGGGGGGTTGGAGATTTTTTTTGTTGGTTTTTTTGTTTTTAAGCGTTTTCTTGCTAACTTGCTAAGCCCAAACGCAGCACAGGCTGCCACGTTGAGAGTGCCAGGTGGAGAGTCTTAAACGTTTTTAAAACTAAACCTCACTTTGCTTTTTTCCTGTTTTTATATAATGCTTTACTTCAAGCATTTTTTGTGGGTTTATTAATGCATTCATCATTTTTTATTTGATTCTTTATAGGCAGTGGTCTGCTGTGTAGGACCAAAAGTGGTGATCCAACAAATTTACCTTGCTTAAAGAGCTTAATAACTACAAAAATATGTTTTCTTAGCTGGATAAATGAATGAAAAATATAGGATGGTTCTAATGCTAAAACAGTTTAAAGGAGATTATTCTAAAATTAATTTCAGATTAATTTTCAGACTAACAAATTTGGTCCATAATTCATAGGTTTGTAGGAGCTCCTGCCTTCAAGAGTGGTTGGTTATTGTTGCGCTCAGGGAGAAGCTGAGAAAACTTACTTCAGTGACAGAAGCTTAGAATGAAAGCTTTATTCCCTTGAGCATTCCTAGGTAGCCAGCTCAGGATCTGAGCCTTGTCCTTGAAGGGCTCAGCACATTTAAAGGAGGAAACCATGAAGTGAGGAGGAGCTGTAGCATTGTCTAATCATATTTTGACATAAGGGGTTGAGAAAAGGAGTTTCCATTGTGGATTCTCCCCAACTTGGGGCTGGCCAGCCTCAGGAAGGAAGTAAATGTTGGTGATTAGGCCTTGTCACCTAAACCTGCGCCACCTGGTTTCAAGGTCCTTGACTCATGCTGGACATTTGGCTGGTAACTCAAAATGGTAAGACAACCAAGCAGAGAGCAAGCTGCACGCAGTCAGTCAGGTCATGACAGGTGATCTAAGGTACCTGCAGTATAAGTGATATACACTTATACTGCAGGTACCTTAGTTTAGATAACAGGCAACTTCTTTCCTTATACTTTTTTGTAATTTACTGGTTAACAGACAAACAGGAAGCATCTGGAGAAACGGGATAGGAGTTAGTCCCTGGGCCTGGGAACATGAACCTAGTTTGAGCCTGCCAGCAAGATGGAGAAGTTGTCCATGAGATGGCTAGACACAGACAGCTATCTCCTTACAGTTAGAGTTCATTAGAGGTTACAATGTGACATTAGTTAAATTCTAAGTTAATATTGAAAACATAGGTTTCAGACACTGATCTCAGAATTCAAGTATGAGAAAAGATGTCCAAAATCAAATTGTGCCTACCAAGATAGCAGAATTTATGAAATTCAAGGAGCATCTACAAAGACTCCTGGTAGACCAAGGTGTGGCATGGCATCCAGGAGATCTTAATCATGGAGGCCAGATGAACCAAGGCTCTATTGAAAGGCTCCTATTTGATGAGGAAAGTGTAATATCTAGTTAGCTCTCAAACTTCTTCGTCATAGAACTTACTCTAAGCCAACAGGTTTGTGCAGCATTTGCTATGACATTTTAAGCCAATGGGAGCTCTGCACCAGCAGCCAGCGCTCTTAGCCCCAATTTTGTGAGGTTACATCATTAGGGGGAGTTCTTCACTTTTGTATTGGGAGTCTGTCCGAATGGCTTCTGTATTGTTCACGTAGGTCAACTTTTATTTCCTTTCAGCTATGCAGTATGTGAAGAGCCTGAATGAGACCAGATGGGCCAATGAAAAGAGACATTTGAACCACCTGGTAATCACTGGCAGCTCATCTGCTGAGGAGAGGGTCAGCTTTGGGAAAATAGTTAATAGGAGTTCCAACCCTGTTTTACGCCTGGCTGTTAAGAATAGGAACTCTTCTAGAATGAGATCTGAGGTCCTTGATATATGTGAAAATGTGTATCTCCCTGATGAGTCCGTTGAGATACAGGCTACAGAAGAACTTGATCATCTTACTACAACCAAGATGTCATGCAGACCCGCCGAGCCTCTTAGTCTAGATCACAGTGTCGAGAGTGGGCAGCAGCCCCTCCAGTGCACGCAACACGACAAAGCCTTCCACTCAAACACTGTGTGGACACATGAAGCGTTTCCTTCGGGAGATGGCTCGAGGCAGTTCAAGGAATGTGGGAAAGCCTTTGATAAGTTGGCTCTCAGTGCCCAAAAGGAGACTCAGATAAGGGAAGAAACTTCTGATTGTGACATGTGTAAGCAATCATTCTCTGACAGGTGTAACCACATTCGGCATTTAAAAACATGCATAAAAAACAAATATGTTGAGTGTAGTGATGATGAGCCAACATTGAACACAAAAGCAAGCCTGCTAACTCTGCAGAGCACTCTGCATGTGTGGGAAAAGTCCTGTGGGTGTGATGACCGTGAAAAATGTGTGTGTCAGATGCCATCACAGAGGGCTAGTCAGAGTAAAGAGAGCAGTTGTGTGAAAAAATTTTGCCCTAACTCAAATTTCAATGTGCACCAGAGACCACACACAGGTAAAAAGCCCCATGAATGTAATACATCTTCAAAACTCAACAACCAACATCGGAGACATCACAGATGTGGGAGAACCTATCAGTGTAAAGTATGTGGGAAAGCCTTTAAACACACACAAAACCTCTATTTACACCACAGAACTCACACTGGTGAGAAGCCCTACGAGTGTAAAGAGTGTAAGAAGCTGTTCAGTGTGAAGTCCAATCTCAGTGTCCATCAGAAAACTCACACAGGCGAGAAGCCCTATGAGTGTGACATCTGTGGGAATGCCTTTAAGAGGAGGTGTGACCTGACTATACATCAGAGAGTTCACACAGGTGAGAAGCCCTATGAATGTAAAGAGTGCAGGAAAACTTTCAGTATAAAGTCAGGCCTCATTGTACATCAGAGAATTCATACAGGCGAGAAACCATATGAGTGTAATGTATGTGGAAAACGTTTTAACCAGAAGTCAAACCTCTCCACACACGAGAGAATTCATACAGGTGAGAAACCCTTTGAATGTAAAGAATGTAGGAAATCATTTAGTGTCAAGTCATACCTCACTATACATCAAAAAACTCACTCGGGTGAGAAGCCTCATGCATGAGATCTGGCCTTGTATGAGAAGACAAACCTCCATGGACATCAGAGAGCTTACACAGGTGAGGAATCTGTGAACATAGAGGGTGTGGAAAAAGTTTGTCATCTCTCCATGTACCTCAGAATTCAGATCCTGTGGATGTAAACGTTGCAGAGAACCTGTCAGGCTTAAGTCATATCTCAGTTAGTGAACTCAAAACTGAGAATGAGATAAGTTCAGTAGAGTTCTGCCAGATGTCAAACCTTAGTTATTGAGGAAATCCTACAGCTGAGATCCTTGGACTGTGAAGTCTGTGGAGGCTTCACATGGATAGAAACCCTATGAGTGTAGCCTTGTGGAAAGCCCTTTAGTCAGAAGTTCCACCTCTGAGAATCTCAGTGAGTTCACCCGGGCGAGAGCCTGCGACTGTGAGAGTGTAGGAAAGCCTCTCAGACCTTTGTCACCTCTCCCTGTGTACTGCAGAATTCAGAGCTGAGTTACTGGACAGTGTAATCTAAACTGGTCACCTGCCACATGCAAACCTAAATACACGCCAGAGAAGTCTCCCAGCTGAGAGGCCTTAGGAGTGTAAGGACCAGGAAACATTTCCAGCAGATGTGTATCAGAGTAGAAAAGCTCTGCAGATGGAAAGGGAGAAAGTTTCAATAGCAGATACAGCTCAGTACACGCCAAACACACACAGCTGAGTAACTTGGAATGCTGTGTGTGTGGAGAAACCTTTTCAGAGCTCACAGTCACCAGGTGAGGGGCTCTGTGATTGTGAGGACTCCTCCAGCTGTGAGACACCCTTTACTGTATACCAAAGAAGACACATGGGATAAGCCATACCAATTTAATGTGTGAGTAAAAACTTGGTTCTGTAAGACAGACATCTGCCTCAAATAGACAGCAGAAGCAAAACTCTGAATACAAAAGCCGGGGAGGAGGGGCAGACCTGTGAATATAAAGAATGTAGAAAATACTTCATATTCTTGGGTTGTGTGCGAGAGCTCACATAGGTAACCATGTTCCCACATAAGTCAACAGATGTGTGTGCATCTGAAACAATGACCCCCTCAACACTCCTGAGAAGGCACAAGAGTGTGAGATATGTGGAAACACTGGAGAGCTCCCGGGCGGTAAGTGATGAGGGTAACGTATGTGGACAGCCCTTTTGCAGGAAGTTGGCCTCCACATTGAGAGGGAGTTGTTGACGTGTGGAAAGGCATCTCTAGAATGGTCATGGATGTGGAAATTGTCACTGTGAGAAGTTCTATAAGCAGAGGGCTCGTGTGCTGAGATTGGCTTTCTGGTCCTGGGACTGGCAGCCTGTGTGTGTAGTGTCATGGAGAGACCATGTCCTGAGTTACGGGAGTTTAAACTCATTTCTTTCCAACCTTATCCCCCAATTGCAATACATTAGCCCTGGATTTGTACTCGTGGCCAGAAAGGCAGATGAGCTTATCTTTGGCAACAAGGGAGTATAGAGGATGACGCTGATTTAAGGACATGTTTTATTGGAGAGAGCAGAGGTTTTATATGTGTTTGTAAATCTCTTGTTTGTATGAATGATAAAACTTTCTACAAGAGCTTTTTGAAACATAATGCAAAATCATTGTAACCCATTTTACAAGCATTTCAGCCAGGAAAGAGAGCCCTTCTTGTCACCCGTGTATTTTCAAGTCATTTTGTGGAGAAAAAGAAACATGAAATTTCAATAAATTCTAAATGCCTTACCTGAGCACCAGCATTGCATTGAGGAGATACTAAAGGTTGTATCGTGTGAAATATATATATATATATATATCCATAAAACATTAAAATCCATCTGTATCAGAAACCATAAAAATGAAGTAGTTTCCAGGAAGTGTTAATTACAGTGTTAAAGTTATTTTTGATCTGGGTGTGGTGGCACATGTCTTTAATCCCAGCAACCAGGAGGCAGAGGCGGTCAGATATCTGAGTTTGAGGCTAGCCTGTCTGCATAGAGTTACTAGGCCAGACCCTGACTATAAAAACTGTTAAATATGCCAGGTGATAATTGTTTATGATGATGCCTCATGCAGTGGTTTGGTCTACATTTGGGGACATTTGTGTTTGTCACAAAAGTCTGAGAGTTACAACTGACACCTGTGAATACCAAAATGCAGCTGAGCTGCCTGAGGGACACTTGTCCTGAGGAGCCATGACCTCAGCCCAGATAGGGCACCGACAAAAGACCAAAGAAACAGTTCTGTCAAGCCCCACTCAGGTGACTCAGTGGGTTCAGTGAGCTCACGGGAGTGTAGGGGCTACCTATCAGGGACAGGAGATCCCGGCAGCTGCATCATTGAACAGCCCAGTGTGGGAACGACTCATGAAAGCTGGACCCCATGCAGGGGACTCGGCTGGCCACAGCGGGTCAGAGAGGCTCCCTCCAGCAGCTCCTCCTGTTTTATAAAGCTGGGAACAGAATGGACCTTGAGCGTCTTTTACATTTGGGGGGCTTGTGAGACTGTTCGGGTTTTAATGAGTCTTCCTCCAGGGTGGAACATTTCATTTCAGAGGGTACTGCCACACATCAGGTGCAACATACCCTGATACATGTAAGGTTTGTGCGTGTGGTTTGTCCTCTTAGCAGGGGAGTGCAGAAAATATACTTTTTAAATGTTCATTGTGATTGGCATTAAAGTTTTCCACAGTAACCATTATCCTGACCTGTTTACGTCTTGTAAGTTTCTAGTTCATATTTTCTTAATCTTTTAACATATAAGTGATTGTCACCAACTATCTGCCAAGTATAGATGATAGTGTTTTTGTAACATGGTGATGTCTTAAAGTGAGCCAGTACTGCTCAAAGTAGTGGGGTAGGAAAACATGGATAAAGGTGTTTTTCACAGCTGTCTTGTGAAATGGTGTAGATGTTTGGGAACAAATGGTACCCATTTCCATCCTCTGAGAGAGATGATATTCTTGGAATAAGTTCCTTTTCATTATTCTCCATGCCTTACGGTTGGGCACCACCCTAGCTCTGAGTGTATGCTGTGAAACCAAGGAAGTATGTGTGCTCACATAAGAGCACAGAGCATGCCTCAACCGTCAACATGACATGCCTGGTGTCGCCACTGCCCTTGCTCCCTGGGATTAGTAAGCAGTACATCCACTCAACACAGTCATGAGAGCTTGCAAGTACATAGCAATCATTTGGTAGGAGGCTGCAACAGAATGTTCTTTGACCACACAGCACCATCTTACCCTTGGCCAAAGTGTGATTTGGTTTTGGTCTTTCTTCTGGATACTTATTCAGACATTTGCCTCAGTCGTGCTTCTTGTAATTAGATGGGATCACTCTTCTAATTTCTTTAAAAAGCTAAGCATGCAGATGAAAGAGGAGGAAGGAGGTCCTCCCCAGTCAGTGGACTTGGAAAGGAGCAGGGAGGAGATGAGGGAGGGAGGGTGGGATTGGGAGGGAATAAGGGATCGGGATACAGAGTTAACAAAATGTAACTAATAATAAAAAAAAATTTTTTTAATTTAAAAAAAAGCTAAGCATGTGACCTAGCTGTATATAGAATGGGAGTTCAAAACACTTCTTAGACATAATCCAAAAGACAAGTGGAGATGTGGTGGAAGCCTGTCTTCTGTTGTACATTGGTCTTTGCAGTCATCATTTCTCATTGTTACCTGTGTCCTTCCAGATGTGGTTCCTATCATTGTCGTTATACAAAGTTTTCCAGACCAGTATGAATGGTGTTAAGGGCAAGAAATAGCCAATGAGGAAACTTCTTTTTTGAAGGACTTGGGGCACGATGAAAAACATTGTTTCTTTTGGTAAATAAGCAACAGGCATGTACTTGACCAAAACAAGCTTTCTGAGCAGAGCCCCGGGATTTGGGCAGCTGATTCAAGATTGCACATGTGAGGCCCACATAGGGTGCATAGGGAGTCGGTCTGTCCACACACATGCTCTTGCATGACCCCCACTATTATGGAGAAGTCAGACATCACTTCAGTACCCTCCCCTACAAGTATCCTGACTAGCCCTGCTGATAACTTGCTTTTAACTCCCAGATTATAACTCTAGACAAATCTTAAATACACACACAAATTCAGAAATAAAAACACAAGGCTACATAAGGAAATATAAAATGTGGTCACATTATCCAGAGAATGGTTTATTATAGGGTGAAAATCTTATTTCTGAATTAAAAAAAAAAAATTTAAGGGACTTTTCCCAGATGCATGAGAAAAAAAAAAATTGGAGCATGAGTTTAGGAAGTTACTGAAAATTAGAATAACAAGGATGAGGGCTGTTGGGATGGCTTAGCAGGCAAAGGCCAAACCTGAGGACCTAAGTTCAATCCCTAGGACCCACAGGGTAGAAGGGAAAAAATAGACTCCCACAGGCTGTCCTTTGACCTCCACAAGTACCATGGCACAAGCACACATATGCACCCACAGTAAATGAATAATAAATGCAATACAAAATGAGTACTAACAGAGGTGAGACTGACTGCAGAAGCAGTAATTACCAGCTATTTACAGTAGAGGGGTTTTTTGTTGTTTGTTTTGTTTGTTTGGGTTGCCCAGGCTGACACAGGACTCACAGAGCTCTGCCTGCCTCCATGAGTGGTAGAAATAAAGGCATGTGCCTCCAGGCCTGGCTCATTAGTTGGAACAGGTTGATAATGGCACCAGAAAATAAGTGTATGTTAATCGGGCAACATAGGAAGTAGAGGATCATTATCATGGCTTCTGTTATTCTTTCCGAGTCTTGAGTCATTCAGATTTTACATGCAACAGATTTCATCTGTGAAGCACTAAAGTCTATGTTCCAAATTATTGAAGTATTGAAATACTGAAAGATTCTCTAAAATGAAAGTGTATTGGTGGTCTTGAGTTTAAGGTCTGTGGGTAGGTCTGTAGCACAGAACCAGGAAACTCGTGGGGTAGGATGGAAAATGATTGTTAGTAAAGTGCTTTTATTGCATGGTTAGATGGAATGATGTAAAATCCCAGCAACGGCCATGGTGCATTCCTGCCATCCTGCTGCTGAGGGGGCAGAGAGGGGGATTACCCAAGGTTATTAGACACAAATTTTTGTCCAATCAGTGAGCTCAAGGCTCAGTGAAAGATCCTATCACATGCAATTTTGTTACTTTTTGTAGCTAAGATAAAATCAGATACCATAGCCAAAAGTGACTTATGGAGGAAAAAGTTTATTTTTAGTTACCGTTCCAAAGAGATGAGTCCATCCTAGTGGGGAGGCATGGTAGCAGGAGTGGGAAGCTGCGAGTGAACAGCAAGGCCATCCCTCTAAACCTCCTCAAACAGTGCTACCAATGGAGGCCAAGTGGTCAGATGCCTTACTCAAACCCCCACATTCCACTCTCCTGCTCCCATAGGCTCATAACCATATCATAATGCAAAATGTGTTTGGTCTAACTCCAAAAGTCCCCACAGACCCTGGCACGTTTTAAATCGTAACTCCTTATAAAATCAAAAAGCAACTTACATACTTCCAATATATAATGGGGCAGAATATACAATACTATTCCAAAAGAGAGTAACAGGGCCATAGTGAGACAGCACTGGACCAAAGCAAGACTGAAACCCAGGAAGGCAATCTCCATATCCTGTTGTTCAATCTCTGGTATTTTTAGTTTCCAGAGGTTTAGATGGCTCTGCCTTTTCAGCTATGCTGCCTGCAACATGCATATCTTTCTCCTGGGCTGCTTCTACTCCCTGTGTAGACACTCTCCTGGGCAGATAATCCCATGGCCCTGGCCATCTCCAACATCTTGGAGTTTCCACAAAAAACGCAGGATTCATTTCTGTAGCTTCACACAATGGCCTCTCGGAGACTCTCTTCCTCTTAGGCCTTCACTCAAGGACTACCCTGCCCACATGCTGCCTGGCCTCAGCAGCTTCTGAAAGCACGGAGGAAGAGTCCTTAAACACTTCGCTCTTGTATCCTTCATTCCTCTAAAGCCAACCTGCCGTGTGGATATTGCCAAGTCCACAGTCAGCTCAGGATGGACCCTAACCCCCTTGACCCACATTAGCATCCGCTTTCATATCCAGTTGCTTTTTGGAGCATAAAACCCCTTAGGCCTTTTCCTTCCACAAGTCAGAAACTTATATGCATGCGATCTTGCCCTGGAGGAACCTTTCCCTTTGTTCTAGTGCAGATCAGGGCTCATTAAGGCCTGTCTTCAGCACAGGCCTTGGCTGTAACATTGAGCTTCACAACGCTCCTTTTCTCTCCAAACTGTATAATGTACACTTTGCATTTTTCTCAGCACTATTGTATTCCAAGATTTTACTAGACTGGCCCATTAAGCTCAGCATCCAGCATCCAGCATCCAACAACTCTTCTAGTCCAAAGTTTCAAGGTCTTCCACATTCTTCCAAAAAGCAACATGTTCAGGTTCTCTATACCAACACCCAACTCCTGGTGCCAACTCAGACATTAGTTCCTTTTCTGTTACTGTGAAGAAGGACCACGACCAGAAGTGATAATTGGTCAACATTATTTTTTGCTTACAATTCTAGAAGGATAAGAGTCAATAATTTAGGGCAGGCATGGCAGGAGCAGAAAGCATGAGGAACCACATCTCAACCACAAGCACAAAGCAGAGAGCAAAAAGGAGGTAAAACACAACTGTGAAATTTGTAAGCCAGCTCAATAAACTCATTGGTTTCCAAAGTTGGACTATAAATGCAATGTTTTTCTTGTTTTGTTGTTTCAGTCTGCCATTGATGCCCTACCTGGGTTCAGTAGGTGTTTGTACATC